TGTGTGAAACATCTTTCCTGTCTTCTCTAGGTAACAAACTTATTTTATTTATTCATGCACCCACATAAAAATTTACTGCTTGTTATTTAAAAAAAAAAAACAAAACCAAAAAAGCTGTAGTGACAGGTCTATTGACCCACAAGTTTCTTCTTCTTCAGAGAGAATGACAGTGTCATCACAGTATTCTCTCCAAGTTTCTTAACCTTGATGTGCTGCTTCTGGATTAAACAAGTCAGTCTAATCAATCTTACTGTGAAGTCTGTATAGGTTACCCACAAAGAAGCCAAACAATTTCAACCGTGGTGTGAGGAGTTGTTAATTTGGAAATCACTACAAAAATCTGTTCAAAGAAGTATATGCAGCTATGCTGTAATTATACCCCCTTATCTTATTACTCTTGCTATTAACAAAGAATATTCAGAGTTGCATGAGACTACTGTCCTCCTGTCAATTGCAGGAACAGAACTGCACAACTGCAGTAGTGGATGTGTTAAGTACACTGTTCTGAAATAAATGAGTTCTGACTGCTGAGGTAGCTCTTAAGATGGCTACATGACCTGCTCAGCAGAGGGGATAAGAAGCAATGGGGATCTGACAGCTACCTCCCTCTTTTTTAAGCTCAAATTTAATCAAACTATTAAAATATTTGTTGAAGTAGTCTGTCTGCCAGGCAGTATAGCCCATACTAGACAGACTGACAAGTGACTTGTTTCAGTAGGAATTTTTTTGCATTCTTCCTGGTTTTTTATTTTTACTTTCTTGAGCAAAGATTTGGTAGGTGGAGCTTTTGAATGCAGGGAAACATCAATTGCAACAGGCCTGGCACAGGATGACACTCATACTGTTTACTTAACTATGGGATAAACAAATTTTAAAGTCTGCAATTAAGCTAAGAGCCATGAACAGACTTGAATTATTTTCAAGGTTGCATCATTACTCCAAATCTGATTTTCAGTGATGAAATAAAGTTCTAGAAAATATTCTCATTTTATTCATAGATGCTTTTAAATAGCTTCTGAAAAATACACTAGAAGCACTGATCTCCGAGTTAATTTGGCTACACTCATTATTAACATGGATATTTAGAAATTTATTTACAGAAAAATCCTTATGATTTCCTTTCTACATTATAAGTATACCAGAAGGGAGAACTGACACAAGAAGAGCTAGGGAATCTCAGTGAGACCAGCTGTGTTGCATCATTCCTTTAAAACCACAGTATGAATGCACTTACAGCAGCAGCAAACCTTGAGGAAGGCAAGATTAACAGTCACAGGCAAGACTTTGTCAGATGTATTTCGGAAAATAGTCAAGCTCTCAGGTATACAAATGCATCCTCAAGTCAGAAAATAAATCTAGAAACAGAGAGGTAAACTCTAATTGAGAATAACTGCTCTCAACAACTGATTCTGTGCCCAGATGTACAGTTTGCCACTTTTTACTTCAGATTCAGGTCTGGAAAAGCACTACACTGGTCAAAATTTTGTCTATTTTTCTTTTTTCACAGTTGATCATATAAAGATACCTGCGTATGAACCTGCGTATACACTCTGGAAGCGTACTATGAGATCACAGAAAGTCTTCACAAGGAAATGCCTAAACTTTCTGACTATATTTGTTCTAAAGATGGATAGTTATACCAATGTGACCTCCTCAGGAGCACCTTTAGTACATGTTGAATAGATAGGGAACAATCAGTACTCATTTGGCATCGCTTCATTATCTCTGATTAGCTCCTTTTCTATCTAAACATACAAATCTAACTGTTCTCATGGTGCTCACACAGGTCATTGCTAGCAAATGACTGATTGCATTTACACATTATCGGTATTGCTGGCTCCAGTCTCATGGTTGCTGTTTTTCTGAAGGCATTTGTTCCTTAAAGACTGCAATGATGCAAGAATTCATCATGGAAGGGGAGTCTTTACCTTGACGTGAGAGCTATAATTTAAAAAATATAATCTGAGTCACGTGTCCTTGAGTATCACAAGGCTTGAAACACCCTTGAAATACTCAGAAGGCTCTCAAAAATACATCAAGGTTTATTAAAACCTCACAATTATTTGAAAAGTCTAGATTTTTAAGATCAGGTTCATTACCTCTGTGCAAAGAACTCTGGCAATATCTGGCATGGTAGAGCTTGCTCTTTTTCTTTCTTCACAAATTGTATTCATTTGGCAGAAACTAAGAAACGAGAGGCACTGATGAGGTACGTGCTTATTCTTGAGGCACAGGCAGGTAACCTCACATTTCTAGCTATTCATGCTGCATTACAGCAGAGTAATCTCACGCACATGTGGTAAACATTTTAAGCTAAGTATCTCTGAGTAAGTTTTAGTGAAACTGAGATGTATTCATGCATCTTTTGGAAAAGATGGCTCTAAATATATCTGTATAACTGTAATGTGAACTACCACCATCAGCTAAAGGAAGCAGGCCTGGCTGCTTGGATTATATAGCTTTGGTCAACAATATTAGTATACTTTTCCTTTTGGTGGTTCTGAACAAGGACATTTTGCACTGGAAAAATAAGTAAATGGTTTTCCACTATTATGGCAATCAAAAATAAAAAGTGAACACCTGTAAAAACACACTGTGAATAAACAGAATGATGTGGCTCCTATATTTCACTTAAATAATCAGGAAATATGTTGCTGCGTTCTGTAGCAGCTCCTCCCTCCCCCCTGTATTCACTATTACCCACTTTTTTTCTTTCTTTCTAATATTATGTTTAAAGTGATAATGTTCTTCTAATATTTATTGAAATCTTGTAATTACAAACAATAACAAGAAAGATTGTTTCTTCTGTGTAACCTCTACTGTTACACTTCATACAAAACTACCATGATGTCTTGCGGAAGAGTAAAGCTTTCACGGCATTTTGGTTTTGCTCACTGCATAAGCATCCTTTATCAGAAGAGGTAAGTATCAATACCGAGGAGGTGCCCTGAAGTTTGCACTAGGACTGCTACTGTTTAACAATCATTACACTAAATAATTCTACAAACAATTTGGAAATTGGCAGTGTATTGTTGCAGTTCCATAAAAACAACAACAAAAAAATCCCTCTGCAAGGTACAGGACAATGGTGTCGTCTTAGTCTTACAGCTAGATGGGGACTGACTTGCTTTCAAGATATAGCTGTAAGAGCAGCCTTGAGATTATCTACAGAAGATGATCCCAGCCATTCTGAGCCTCATGAGCCTTTTTGTCAATGACAATCCTCTACCTACAAGCTAGACAGAGTGTAATTCAAATGCTCTGTGCTTAAATAGACTGTCACCTGGCCACCAAAGTTGTTTTCTGGCACTGAGAAGGAAATTTAATTTGGGATATATAATACAGCAATGTATCTTTGAAAACATTTTAATTGAGTAATTTTGGCAGAGAGTAATGGAATTTGAACTTGCAAACAAAATTTAAGAATCTCTGCAGAAAAATACAATTTAACAGCAACTAAAAAGGCAAACATACTTTTAGCACAGAGAAATATCACATATCAAGCAACGATAGTGCTTCTGGGAAGGACTGTACCCGCACATGTAAGAAAGGCTGTGTTTTGTTAAAAAAGAAGGATCTTAGTTACACAAGTTTTCAGAGAAACATCTGAAAGCTATATATTCAGCCAGACTTAGACAGGGGGAGAGACTGAAAATGCTCCAATTCCTTCTACTAGCAGAACTAAAAGCATATTAAATGGAGGTCAGCATTGAACAGTCTGAAAGACCACATCTGAACTGATTTTTATATTCTTTTGGAGACAAGCTGCTATTTAAAATACAAGGCAAGCAAATCAGAAGCAAAAGAAGTACCTCTTCAAATGGTTCAGTGTCTGCTACTGAACTTCACTGCATGGGGTTGGACAGTCAATTGCTGTTGGCAACTCCCACCTGCCAGCACAGGAACGGATGTCTGGTGATTTGGTCCCAGTTCTCTGTGCTTCCAGCTGCTAGACTACATTAGAAGACAGAGAAAAAACACAGTAAATCTACTCCTAACATATTCTACATAGACAGTGTCTATTGTATCCCTAAAAGATTTTGCAGTTAGAGAAGGTGAAGATGTTTAGCCAGTCACATATGGGAATGAAAGCAGTTCTTAAGTTCTTATGTGATGCATTAGTGCACAGTGTAACTAAAGTTTGAAAACACTTATTACTATAGAAATAAAGAAAAATTAGATTTCACAACCAACAACCTATTGCAGCTGTTCATGCCAATCAATATAAAGAACTGATAGATTTCCATGGTTTTGAATATATGTCAACCAGAAATCTCAAATGCTGGGTAACGATTCCCACCTAGTCCTCCAAAACTAAATTCAAAGTGCCTGAACATGATACCAAACTATCAATTTAATCTCATAACAAACACCAGTAAATGGGAACAACCAAACTTAGTATCAGGATCTTACAGAGCATGGAAAGTCTTATGTTCTCAGAGCATTTCTTCCATTTTTAAGGAGGTGTTCAGTGGCTCAAAGCTGAACTAGCAGCTGAGTTGATCACAAACAGAGCTTCTCAGAGGTTGATACTGGGTCCAGTCCTACTCGGTATTCCTGTAAGTCATCTGGATAATACAACAGAATCACTTTTCCCAAAGTTTGCAGATGACACCAAATGGGAGAAGAGGTAGGTAGAGCGGAGAGATGAGCCACTATTCAGAGACTTGAACATGCTGCATGTCTGGGCCAACAAGAATTGCACAAGCCTTAACAAAGATGAAGTCTTGTACCCAGAATGAAATAATGAAGCAGTCTATGCCACTGCTTGGGATTAGCACTGACTGCAAACATCTGCACTGAAAAGCTAAGAGAGAACTGAACTGAGAGATTCCTGTGAGATCAGTTTGACCAATTCTCCAGCACTTAAGAGTTTCGTGTACCTCCCCCTTTACAACCAGGTAAATCTATATAAAGAAAAAAAAATATATAACATGGGAAAAATATAACCAGAAGATCCTTAGGCTGGGTAAATTACATCTAACCAGGCTCTCCAAATGTGTATGTAAAAGATATTGTTACAGTACAGAGTGACAAAAAGTAGTAATTACATTTAAAAACAAGACATACAATTTGTAACATAAACACACACAATCCATTACAAACACAGAGTTGAAGATTGAAATTACAGGTCTCAATTGAGAGATCTGTGGAACTTCTTTTCTGATCTCAGTGGGTTGAAGCCATAAAAAGAGATCAGCATTAATTAGCTGGAGAGCAACAGTTACCTGCAGAGTCAGACCCAGGCTCACTCACTCTCCTTCATCTGTAGTTTCCCGCTTCCCCCAGCTTTACAATCTGTGCTACATTTAGGAATGTATACTTTGGTGTCATCACAACTGTCAGGGTCCCCTGTATTCCTTCCTTCTCCACAGGTAACTATCACTTCAGGAACAGTTTAAAGAACCAGTGATCCAGCAACTAATATCCAGCACATTTTCTGGCTTTACTGAAATCTGTTTTTTACCAATTGTTTTGTTTAGACGTTTTTCTTAGTTTCAAATTTCAGATGTTACTGCCTGAAATAAACATGCTATCTACTCCCCTTTCTCAGTAAACTCCTTGAAATAAAGTTTTATTTTAGATGCAAATATAAGTGGAGTATAGGTGGGATTACCAAAGTGTGATACGTGAACAAAACTGGAGTCTTTCAAACAACTAACTCATTTTAGAGCAGATTACTTCAGTCCCACTTAATCCAAAAGAAAATAATCTAATAAAACAAAACAGTGAGTTAAAAAGCCACTTCATGTGTTATATACAAACTCCAGCTTCCCTGCTTATTCTAAACAGAAAGGAAATTACAATTAGTATACTAATGTTAGTAGTATACTAGCATAGTACAATAGCATGACTATTAAGAGAATGATGCAAGTCTTTTAGGCATATAGATACATGGGTAAATAGACGATGCATTTCTAATATATGAAACTGCATTGAGAAACTAAGTTCCATACCAGTCGGGCAAAAGTTTATACAAACTGAAAACTGCTTTGAATCCCCACACAGAGTTAGTTATCTGGCAGAAATGACTCACAGCTAAAATATTCCTATTATGAGAGGTCACTAAGTGCATTTAGTATTTCAAATCAGAACTACTTGTAATTTGCAAATAGCTCTACGCCAGTTTAGCCTGTCATTAGCTTAGCACTGAAGCTAAAAGAAAAAGCCAAATAAAACAATAACCTGAATAAAACTATAAATATATCTAACAGTAGGGGAAAAAATAGTATCCGAAAATGCTCAGTATTTCCCAAAGAATTGTTTTTAATATACATTAATTGTTTAAGCCTGCTTTATAAAAAATTATCTTCTGGATTTTCTAACAGGTATACCCCAGTAAACAATTTAAAAATTCTTTTTACTTTCATGACATTAAAATGTGTCACATCAAGCCCCAGTGAGCAGAAGAATGTTTTATCAGATGTGCGTACTTCGTAACTTCCTTAGTTCATACAAAAGATTGGAAGAACATTTTTAAGGCCTTTGTTTTTTGTGTTAGCAGTTTAAGCATGCATGCAAACTGCTCTCCAGAACGTCACTGGCTCAGATATTTTAAAATAATTTTGTTGTTTAAAAGGCAAAAATGGGAAAGACTTTATTGGACTAATTCTTGAAGCTTGCAAGAACTCATGTGCTCTTCTAAAAACAATACTCTTAATAAAGGAAAATAGAGGTAGAAGTCAAGAAAACACAAAACAGAAGCAATGATAGAGATTATAATTTTCAAGCGTCAATTTCAAGGATTGTTTCTGTTGAAATTGTTTGACAAAACACCGAATGTATGTACCATAAAATAGCTGTTATGCAGAGAAATCTTCTCTCACAAGCAATCATGTTAGTTACAAACACATCACAGAATACAGTGTGTTTATATACTAATATTCAAAACAAGTTTAATTTTTCCACACACATATTCACTAGGAAACCGCATGTCATCACATAGATTGGCCTTTTCATAGACAGTAAGTATTCTCTTTTCCTAACTTCACTCTGTCAGTTTGGCTCTAAATTTCAAGCAAACTGCTGATGTACAGTCTGATTGTGTTTCTGGAACCATGACTAAGGCCTTGATCCTATCACTTGCTCCTCCAGGCAAAACTTTATGCCTCAGGTAAGCACTACTGCATACCAGCGTGCAATCTGATATGAGATTTAGACTGTGTACCCATTCAGTAATACAGTAAATAACTGCAATATTCATTTTTGAAGACATGTCAGAATCAATGCAATTTTTTTGGAAATTGTTTTGGGGAAGAATAAAAATATGTATTTTAACTGTCCAGCTGTTCTGAACTTATGAACTCCTAAGTTCCCTAGTGCAAATTTATGGCACATACTAGTCAAAGGAACGCATCTTTTGTTCCCCAAACCTCATCTGTTAGATCATCCTAAAGAGAAAGCTGGTAGACACTGTGTGTTAAAAGGATTAAGCAAATAAATCCAAGTTGTTCCCCATATGCACACTACACAAAGTAAAACACAAGCTTAAATTATGTCAAAATAAAAATCTGTAGTGATTCTGGAAGAACTAAGAAAGCTGAAAATCTATTTTTCTTCTTGTTATATGATATCAGATATTGCCATTGACCACTGCTTCATTCTTCGAGCTGTAGTTTTTCTACAAAAATCATGAGACCGACAGAAGATACACTTTTGTCCCCTAACCTCAGCTGCAGACACTTGCTCTTTTTTCCTCTGCCTGAATTTGAGATTTTCACTTGAAATGTGTCCACTGAGGTAAAATAGGGTTAAAGGTTTATAGAATGTTTCAGCTACTGAGCCATTTCCCCTGCCAGCTTATTCTGGATCCTTTGAAGCTGTAAGAAAGCCTCAGATTTTTTGTTTCGTCTTGTCCTTCTCCAGGCCATACTTATCACAGCATGGTTCAGCTATTCCTGCTTCAGTTGCATTTTGTTGTACTTCATTTTCCTCTTCTTTGTCATTCTTTGTTTGCAGTAATTCTTCAGTTTCTTTGCAGCCACACCTTTATTTCTAGCAGGCTTAGTCCAATTGCCTTTTGTTTCCATAGCTACTGGCTTTCCCTCATAGGGTGTGTCCGACTGTCCTTTCGCCCCAGTCATCTAGAAACGTATGGGGAGAGAATAAAAAAAAAACACCAAACTAGAATTAATAATCCTAAATCTGTATTAAGCACAAACACATCGAACTACCTTCAGAGAATTGCCTTCTGCTTCTTGTCACTCCAGCCAGACTCAGAGGCCACATCTGGACTGAGCAACAGGCACATCTGGTCTTCCTGCCACCACTCAGATCTGACCAATCCTGCCTCTTTCTTGCCTACATGCCTGGGTTTCCTTCTGGCAGAAACTAAAGTGCATGAAGTAATTAAGAACTGATGCACAACCCTATTTTGCCCTTGTGTGAAGTCAGGATGTGGCTAAAAAAATATAACTGGGCCTAAAAAGCATCCCACAGTCCACAAAGCTAGGCATAGTTAGCATTTACACAAATGTTGTCTTTTACACAAATGAATAAATCTATGCTAAAGAAAAATAATGCTTGAAAATTTTCTTACTTTTACAGTGTCGTACTACCTGTTCAAAATATTAGACATGAGAATGGGATCTTTAGGGAATTTCCAAAGCAAGATATGCATCACATATTCACCATCATTAATGACAAACCAGGTTGGATTCCTAAAAAATTTCCACAGAATTTCTATCAAGAGCTTCTTTAGATGCAGACAATTAATTCTTCTCATAAATAAATTCTATTCTAAAACCAGCAGCAACAACAAACAGATGTTAGTGACTTTTAGGCTATATTAACTTTTAGTTGTCCTAATGATGCCTGGAAGGACTATCACATTCAAACATCAAAACATTTTATTTCTTTAGATTTAACTACACTCTGAAGAAACGTAGAATAGAAATGCAATATAAGGTTGCTCATTTGGAGCAAAAAGGAGTAAGCCATTCATGCACAATTTTATATTCATGTCCAAGACAGAAAAATGTTTTTTTCCTAAATTAAGGTACTCCCATGCCTCTAGACAAAGTATATATGCCTCTATATGAAACAACACATTATTCTTATTTTAGAAACAATATTGCATATATATCATTATCAATGTTTCACTGTATAGTAAACAGCATACCAATGGGAACTTAAGTTTCTGTAAGTTAAGGAAGCCACCTGAATTGCAATGAAAGTTTTTTCAAATGTGAAGGAGTTCAGAGCAACCAAGAGACAGGGGATCAATGGCAATTTGTCCGACTGAGCTAACAGTCTTCCGAGGACCAAAAGGAAACCTTACTTATGCTGCAGAGAATCACTGTTATCCCTATATGAACTTCATTTAAAATTGCAAACAACCAAGAAAAGATCCAAGATGATCCACCGTAGCTACTGAAATCAGAAATCAATAACTTAAGACATAAAAGACTTCAGAGTGGCATGAGGGGACTGATGAAAATACTTAAACTTTCAGTAGAGTAACGTTGTTTGGTTTTCAGTCTTGCCATAAGATTATTCCATACCTAGTAATGTAAAATCTGACAACTTTTTTTTTTTTTTTTTTTTTGGTGTGGCCAATTTGCTTGCAATCTCTCTTGTCTGCGTAAGATTTCAGGTGTCAAATACTACAGTGGAGTGCTCATTGTTGTCTCCACAGAGGAAGCACTAATTTGGAGCCTTCTTCTCTATATGGCTACTTATTTTCACTAAGCTGGTTATAATTTAATGTTAGGCCTCCAAGACATGTCAGTTCCTGCTGAAATACCTCAACAAGTTCAAGATTTTGAGATGTGGGGGAAAGACAGATGGACAAGTGGAGATGAAGGAGAGAATGAAAAAAACAAGAAACTAAGTTAAAAGGTCCTTCCTGAAATTATTTGAAGAAAAAGTACATCAACAAAAAGCACCATCAGAGAGGCAAAACTAGAAAATCCTTATAAATGCAAGTATTCTGGCTGCACTGCAAGCTTATCAATTACAAAGCTTTTAATTAAGCCAAACGCTATATTCTTTTTGCTGTCCAAAAAGTATTATTAGCTCACATAAAAGAGGCAAAACTTCATTTTGAAAGAATTCTGCCATCAAACAGGGAAAAAAAAAAAGAGTGTAATTTTTAAAAAAAAACCCACTTACTGTATCACAGAGAACTGTAATAAGAGCTCAGTGGAAGAGACTCTCACAGTAGAATTTACCTTATCTCATTTTAACTGTCTACAGTTGTGCTAATCATCTTTACTGCTGTAGTCATTAATGAGAAAATGACAACTCTACATAAGTGAGTGCTACAATCTATTTAAGAGGCACATCCTGGTGTGGAGATGCATCTTAGAAATATTGTATTTCCCTGTTAACAGCACAGCCACCTTAAACATTGTTCTTCTTTACTCTACTGTTTAAAGCTAGGTGAGATGAATCTCACTGTTTCTTTTTTTTTTTTTTTTTTTTTTTTTCAGGAAAAAGGCACTCCTGCTCTTGGTAGTGGATCCAGAATTCTAAAGGGTGTGTCTGACCTCTGCAGATGACAGATAAACAGACTAGCTATATCCAAGGGACTGAAATAGATTATTTCAAAACCATTAATCTCTTTTTTCCATCAAACGTGATACTGACCTGTTTCCACATGGCTTCCTGGGGTGCAGGTGGAAAGGTGCATGGCACTCTTCCGCGATTTATGTGATAGGGCAAAGGGAGGCTGGGATCTAGCGGCACCCATGGGACTGAAAGCGTGGCAGGTACAGGAGGCAGATCACAATGAGCTTTATGTAAGTTGTACGATGCTCTCGTCGTCTTGTCAAGAGAACTCCTGTAGATTGCAACTGATGAATCTCCTGAAGCATGAGTCAATAAATAAGAACCCTCCTGCAAACTAAAAAGGTAAATTAAAAATGAAAAGTATAATTTAAATGGTTTTGGTTTGCTTCATTTGATCAGGCCAGCGATTAAGTTCTTAATGCGAAAGCAAAACATCTTTAGATATTTATTTATCAGTCCCTGTTTTATAAAAAAACTATGGTCAAAAAAGCATGAATTAAACTGCACTGATAAATACATACTAATTCATGTATTCGTAATATAGTAATTTATCATCAATGTACAGATTGTTACCATATTCAACAAAACAACTAGGCATACACTGAAAACCACCCATATTTGGAAAACTAGAATTCTTTAACCAGCACCTTACAAAGCATAATGCATATATGGACACAGACACAAAGAAGAGACATGCTTTAAATACATGCAGGATTACACAGGTTTCCAGGAAGACAAATGTCAACCAGCTGACCATATGAAAAATCTTATTCACAAATGGCAAAACTACAGAAATTATTAAGTGCAGGAAACTCTTCTGTAATTCCAATTAAAAGGCTTCACACCTGGCGCAAGAAACCTGCTTCATAAAAAAAAATTAAAAGACACTTGCAAACCGAAAGCCTTAAAGTAGTTAAATAAATAAAGAAAAGAAAGGAGCAAGAGAAAGACATATGCTGTTGTAAATCAAGCTAAGCAGAAGGGAACACAAACAGTATTATTTCTACAGATTAAGCAAAAAGACTAACAAACAACAGAAGTCCAAATTTTAAATGTCAGCTTACGTACATAGTATTTCACAACAATTGTGAACAATTTAATCAGTTCAGAAGTGTCCAGTCACCTCTCAATTTAAGTGGTTCATAAAAATCAAATTCTTATTCTTTTGCATCGTTTATACAAAACCTGTAACCCTAAGAACATTTTTACACAGTACTGGATTATGCTATGCTAGACCTAAAAGAATCTGTAAAGTATTTTGTGCATCTGCAGAAATAAAACCAAACAGTAGACAAGCATTCTACAGAAGAAAAGAAGATGAGCTGGGTAATGTTGCAAATAAATACAATGAACAAGAATGGAACACTTACTCGGACACTTTCTTCAAAATGTGATTAAGTATATTTAATGAATTTGCAGGCCTGTGAAAAAAAAATTACAAAAGTAGTAACTTAAAAGGCTTGTTAGAGTTTCAAATTCATTGCTAGAAAAAAAATACTAAAAATACTCACTTAATCAATACAAGTTTTTCTTTTAACATTTCTGGAGAAATCTTTTCTAGCATAATAAGCTTTGATGTAAAAGCATCAATACGTCCTGAAAAATATTAATTCCATTAATATACTAAAAATAAGAGAACAAATGCAAAACCACAATTTGCAGACCTAAGGCATTTTAGAATAAATAAAAAGTGGTGGTCTTTTACAGTGTAGAACTGTGAAAAGTATTTATCAATGTTGCACAGTAATGGAAAGCAAAATGTATAGCTGCTTTAAGTACAGACATCTTTATTTGGGCTGTCTTTCTAAATCAGGGAAATACCCATGAATCCAGCAAATCTTACATCTTGGATGATGTCTGGGATATACAACCTCATTTTGCCACAGCCTTAATCTCCTCAGATAGTTTGTATCTTCTCAAGTTCTTTTGATCCTTGTCACTATGCCTCTCTTTACTGGACAGATCATGAAAGTTAATCTTTTAAAACAAATTTACCTCTGAGTAAATTTGAGTAAAAAAAAAAAAAACTTTTTTTTCTATTCCGATAGGTTATATGAACAGTTGTGTTGTTTGATTCTCTGGGGATTATGTACCTTCGCCTCTTGATTTATTTTTTCTCCTCACCTGAAAAATTACAATTTATAATTCAGGCCTTTTTCATGACAAATTGTTAAAGGCTATTTGTCTTTCCTATAGGAGCAAAAATTCAAAGCTCTACTTATCACATTTTTAAAATAAAGGCTGTCAAGAACAGTTTAGCCCACATTTTCACTTGATAAGCAATAAAGATCATTAGCACAGCTTGTACACTGATGTGGTGACAGTGCCTTACCTTCAGGTTCTCTCTCATGTTGAGGTTTTCCCAGAAATCTGTTCTATTCCACCTCCCACAAGGATGAGGGAAAGGCAGCATAATGAAATATGACCTACTCAGTGGAATTTACTGCCTTACTGCAAATCTGCTCCCATAGGAAGTGTACATGCTTCAATTGTACAGATAAAAATGCTAATCAAAAGCATTTCACATTCCAAGCTAAACATTACTATCAATTCCTTATGTGATGTGTAAGAAGATCGAGTAAGAACTCCCTTTTTAACAAATTTTAAAAAAATGCACCAGGACAAGTTATTTCTCGTAAACACTGTACATTTGTTACTTTTCTTGATATCAGTGTTTCATGCAAGACTAAGCAGCTAGGTTTAATATTCTGCATTGCTGACTAGAGGAAAAGAAATCTGAACTCATTATTAAAAAACCCCCATCTCTTCATGTTCTCCATTCCTTATCAGCCTCCAATCAGAAACTTGTCCATTTCTAAACTCATTGACAGCACAGCTGGGGAAAAAAAAAAAAATCTATGAACTACTCATACCTAATTTATATTACTGTATCTTGTATTTGAGAAGTGACTAAACACTGGACATTCAGTAAGGTACCCATACAGTAAGTACTTCTTTCCAACCCATTTTTCAAATAATCTTTATTTAAAGGCCACTATTACCCTATTGAACTGAAGGTAAACTGTTCTTTTTGCTGTAAGTTTTGCTTAGGCACTTAATACAAGTAAGTGAATAATGGTCGGGGTAAAATGTTCCCATTAATCAGCAAAGCTTATCACAACTTTATTTACTGCTTATATCAAGTACAAATATCTTATTGGGGAAACAGCATGTCACAGAGATTATTTCCTTTGCAGATGCAGTATTTCCTATGTGAGTAGCAAGTGGACTTAAATCAAAAACCAAGCAAGGTGCTCTACTAGCAAGAGGAAGACAGCACTCAAGTTTGTTTGATAATAGTATCTCTGCGTGTGTGCAAAAAATCACTACCTACTTTGAGAATGTACAAATTAAAAAAATTCTCCTTTATATAACACCTTGCAATGTCTGCAGGAGGCCATAGTTTTACACTTTTGTTTTTCTTCTCAACCACTCAGCTGGCAGCGCTGCTGAGTCACTGCACTGAGCTATGAAATTCCTCCCTCAGTCCCACAGAGCAACGCGACACTGAAGAACTACTCCAAACAATTATGGGGCACAGACCAAGGTCCAAAGAACCTTTCACCTATACTTATTTGGCAATACAAAAGATTGTTGAGACAGTGAATTAAGTTCCTTCAAGATCCAAGAACTCCTAAGCAATTTAACACTGAGGTCTAGTACATGTTCAAAACTTCAACTTTAGAGGTTTCACTTAAGATCTACGTAGTCTCAGAACTGTCTGAACAAGAATGTAAGTTGTAGATAGAGTGTCAGGAATGGTAAGATCACATTTTCAAACAGTTGTTCCATACTTCCACACTCATACGGTGGGGTAAATTTAAAGAGAGCAATACGCCTATGGCTCTACTATGGCTGATTTAAAAATTCCTTTATTGTAGGACATGACATTTCACTTAAAATAACAGCATGATCTAAGAAGTCGAGTCTGTCTTTCTACTTACACCAAACATGATAGCAGTAGTCTTACTTTGAGATAAAAGATAAATGAAAATGAATGAGATACTCACCCCATTTTAAGCTGTCCATAATACAGGAAAATTATCATCCCTAAGTGTATTGTCCCCAGAGTTTCAGAACAAAGCTTTCTGTTTCAAAGAATCACCTAACTAAATCAGAATACTTGCAACATTGTATTTTTCACAGCTCCCCAGAAATACAAATTGAAAGAATTTTACAGCTACAGAGCAGTATTTCTCAATGAGAATTCAATATTTCTTAAGGAGAACAGAAAGAATACCGAAGTAGAATATGATAACAATTTCCTATTAAAAGCTGTGGTAGACACTCTTTCATAAAATGAATCATGTACTTCCACATATGTCTTTTTAACTACCTCTATTAGAAACTACATGGTGGTACCAAAAATCTGCAGTCCCCAATTTGTCTACCTGAACAAATTTCATATTCTGTCAGTATCAAAAGTTAGTGACATGCTGAGAGTCCAACTTGGTATCTGTAATAGACTTTTTTTTTTTTTTTTCCCCCTCTAAATAGTGGTGGGAGGGGCCCTGCACCACATGCAGGGAGTACTGATTTACTGTGCAGGACAGTGACAACCCACAGTAATTCTGTGCTTCCTCAGAGCACACAAAAAATTCCTGGGCTTCCTCAGATCCCCGAGTTTGCTCCTAGAAGCAGCGCACCCAAGAGCTGACAAATAAACATCACTGGAATAACCAGTGTTTTTAAATCCCAACAATTTTTTCTCCCAAGCACACGAACAGAGAGCGTGTCGGAGGCTGGGCTGCTGAAGCCTGCCAGCCCGTTTCAAGGCTAGCAGGTACGTATGAAAGAGACACTCAGGAACCTCCGTATCAGACGGGGATGGCTGCTTATGCCACAGCAACTCCTGCCGCACGCACGCAGCCTGCTCTCTTCTACATTCCTGAGAGCCTCTATAAAAAGGGGTGTTGGCCGGATGATCTGTCTGCAAACTTCTGCACGCAAGTCATACCTTAGGTATCCTGTAACTGATGGGCGATTAGATAGGCAAGCATTCTTTCAGTTTGTTCTCTCTGTAAACAGATTAGCCCTCTCTCTAGTACTGCTACTTCCTCACACTGCTTTTGACTCTGGAAACATGAATAAAATGTTGGTAAAATTTTCTACAGGGGGCTAAATTTCAGTGCAATTCAGTATACTGTCCTGCTTGTTAAGAAAAAAAAAAAAAGAGTAAGAAATGTTTCAGTACTGTATATTAAGGTATAATTAGAAATGGAGAACTGTGTGCATAATTATCTCTGTGAGGTTCTTTTTTTTTAGAGAAGAGAAAAACCACAGCAAATATTGCTTTGAAAATTTAAAATCTGAAACTTAATTTTCATTAAGTATGGACAGCAGACAAAGAGGCAATTAGCAAAACTATCACCTCAAATTTATTAGATTTCACATAAACCTTATACTTCTATGATAACATGCAAAGCTTGTACATAAAAATTAGGGGAGAACTCAGCAATTCTAAAATAGTACTCTGATATGAGCCACTAACAGCAGAAGTGTAATTCAGTGCACAAGTGGAAAGCCTAGGCAACCACAGGCCACAACTGCTGCCATAACGACCAGAACAACAGAGAATTTTTCTACAACAAGAAAGCAAACCAGTCCCGACTACAGAACATTAATTCACTGTACAAACAGGACTGCCCTCACTCCATAGCAAGTGCCAAACATATTCTAAAATGCATTTTCCCTTTTAAAACCTTATTAATTACAAGATAATTGGTAACAGAGGAGCTCTCCATATATTACGAGGGTTGTTAAAATAATCTGGCCACATTCTTTATATGCATCATTTTCTCTACAGAACATAAGTATCCTGCCAGACATAAAAAACTTTCCTGACATTTAAAATGTCATTGTACAAGCATGAATACAGCATTTTCTACAAGACATTTGTTAATGAAGCCTTCCTTATAATGCTGCATTCCTAGTGCGCTTGGTTTATGCAATTTTTGGACAAATGGCCTTCACAAGTAAGATATTTTTCTGCTAATATTTTCAAGCTTTTTGTCTCTGCTTTATTGTCTTTTTATTTTCTATGTTCTGAATTAAAGCTGTGATATCTTCTACAGGAGATTTATAGTTTCCTGTTTCATTCTCACTGACTGTATGTTATTTCTCATTCACAGATTCTACATTATCTCCCGTTTCCATCTGCTGCATGACACAGGACAAGGAGTATCAAGACCATTCCCTTTGACAGGGATGTTTCAAGTCATATCATGTATTAGAAAATTAAATTTCACGAATCAGTTAGATATAGACAATGGAAACCTGGAAAATGGGTTTGCTGGAGTAAGATCAGACAGTGTTCAGAACTCCTGAGGAATATCATAGCTATGGAAAGAAGTTTTCAATAAAATTATGCTATTTATTTTAATTATTCTTGTTAGGAATTTAATTTCTGCGAAGTCAGAAAAATATTTCCAGTACCTTAGATATGAGACACATGTACACTTGTTTTCAAAGGATGTAATTCCTCTTACTTCTGAATGACAGAACTTGGTTTAGCCCTGTCTTACTTGTTTTTCCTCATTCTCTTGTATCTTATCTGTCTACATGTTATCAGTGTAGAAATATGAAGATTACTGCCTGTTTTCAAAGAAAAAATAAGTAACATTTGACCTCTTCCCATACTGCAAGCTCAAAGCCCAAGGAATCAGTATCCTCTAAGCCACATATCTGGTGCTCTGTTTGTCTTCTATTTTGGTATATAATAGAAAATTTATTTAAAATTATTTCACAAAATGGTAAGATATTTTGTAGCTCATATTTCATCATGAAATGTTTTTACCTCTCCTGAGTTAATTCTTGTTGTATATGACTCATTTAAAAAAAAAAAAAAAACAACAAACCAAAAAACCCCCCTCCCCTCAAAAATCTGAGATAAAATCATGAAGATTACTGACTTCAGAGAATTAAATTCACAATTACAGACACATTTGTCTTTCAAAGGCCAATAAATGCAGTTCTTGAGAACAAAGATTACTGGATGCTATTAATCTAAACCCAAAGTTGAAATATCCTTATTCACCACCCAATAGAAATTTTAGACAAAGTGTTTATTTAAGATAAAAGTGAAAACCAAAAATAGAAAGTTAAAATAAATAAGGACACATGGAATATACCTTTAACAAATACTTTTCTATTATTCTATGACTATTCAGACATACATGTTTCTTCAGCAAAAATCAACACATGAACTTACCAATATAAAATAGGCATTCAGAATGCAACATACTCTCTGTCCACAACCGACATACTTCACTTTCTGTAAGAGCTTCGACACCGTAATAGGCTTGGTATTCCAGTTTTGGCAACAGGAATATTGGAATAAGCTATAAAAATAAAGATACAAGAAAAAACACCACTCACTATCCAAAAAAAAAATGCCCACAGTCGAAGTACATTTTGCAATTGATAATCATCATAGTTTCTCACTACAGCTGAAACATCTCACAGATCTTGTATGATGGCTCACATTCCATGAAACACACAGTACAGACACTGGACTACAGAGACTCTACAGAGAGGAAGGCAAAATGGATCGAAAGAAAAAAAAAAAAAAGCCTAGGCAAGCTTTTACAAACAATACATGTTTGCCCTTAAATAATTTTACCCTGCAGCTAAATTAATTGGAAGTTCACACTTCTGTGCTCCACTGCCCTCTGCAGGAACTTAAGAAAAATACACCACTGTGTTTCTTATTTACTCATTACTAGTGGAATCCTGCCATTTATTCCCCTTGTCAGTCTCACTTGAAATTAGAACCTAATGCTTGTAGCCTCATCTGAAATCAGAAGCTAACCCTTGTGTGTTAACACTAAGAGAGAAAATATGAGCCTCTTCTCACTGACAAATCACAGTTAAAATTTCAGCAGGAACTTTAAAAAATAAACAGTGCTCAGTTTCTGATTAACAAACTAAGCATCTATTCACAGGCATTTATAAGCAATGGATCAACAGCAAAGAGATGGTTTTTCTTCAAAATAAGTTTCTGAGCATGGAGCCTTAGCATGTAATCAGAGTTAAAAAGTTCTATTTCCATTTCAGCAAAGCTTAAACACCTCACAAAATGCCTGTCTACCATACTTCTGGTATTCTGCAAAGGGAAGGACCACATCAAATTTGTTGAATGATTCAAAGGACTCCTGACAAAATAATAACTTACTGAGGATCCCAGAATAAGCTTTCCTACACTATAGTCTTTTCAATCAGAATGAATAGGATTTCTTTTTATCTTTAATTGTGTCCTCTGATGTTCATTCTATCTCCTATTTCTCTGCTTAACTAGGCATAATAGCAAGGCTGAATCCTGCTTGAAAGTATGATCATGAACATTCTCAGAGCCTTGGGCCAAAAACCTAATTACTGCATTAACTTTTAAGAATAGTTCAAACTGACATTACTTTACATAATTACCCATGCATATTACTGTAATGCAGTTGTAGTAAAAAATGCAGAATCCCAATCACATTTGCTTATCTTCTCATCAAGTAGGTTTAAAGAAATCACAAGTTACTCTTCCTACACCAAATATTTACTTAAAGAAGACAACACACACTGTAGAGATATAATTAAATGTACTAATTGTCTGAGTGAAAACACAAATGCTATGAAGGGCTGGGAACCCCAGAGATGCCAGTTGAGCACAACTGTTTAAAAAGGCAAAACAAAACAGCTGACAGCAAAGTCTGTACCTTTTGGGCTTTTTTCTTTTTATGGTATCGTGGCAATGACTTCACTTTTTGCACACTGCAACGCACAAGTAACAACAGATCATTCAAACTAAATAGCTTATACACAAGGTTGCCATCCTGAGGGGCTTTATACTCTGAAGGATCCTCTTCAAGTATCTGAAGTTCATTTGGCAGCTTTCCTACAGAAAATAAATAAAGCAGAAAATTACAACCTTTCACACTCTTTACCATGAAACTAACTGGCTTTCTTCTCTTGCAGTAGGTTTACTTTTTTTTTTTTAATAGGATGTGTTTGGTTTCTTAATATTTTGAGGTCAAAACCAAAATGTCTGCTACAACTTTTAAAAAGTATATTTTTTAATATTCTCCCATATTCTATCCTAATTATTAGATTTCTTATACAAACAGAGCTGTAAGACATTGTTCTTTTACAGATTAAGTTCAAAGGCTGGTTTTTAAGCCACAGTCTCTCAACGCAACAGAGACAAAATTTTTTTTTTATAATAAATGCTCGAGAGCCACCATCCATTCATCAGTTACTGCAATAACTCAAGCGTCAGGTTTAGATGGTAACATAAGCCTCTGTTCCAAATTCAGTTTGCTTCAACTTCAATACTTGCATATTCAAAAGAAATACTTATTAGATCTCCAAGTGCAGCTTTGAGGTAGGTTAACAAACATCCCTGCATCCCTTTGAGATTATTTTCAATATTTTGCTAAAATAACAAGAATAAACTTCAACTTAAGATTATTTATTGAAAATTTATCAAGTTCTGGTTTTTGTGCTGCAGAAATATGGAAATACTTGTCAGAACTACAACTACAAATAGGTATTGCTGTAGTGCTATGAATATATTTAACATTAAGTTTAGAGTTTATGTGTATGTTTGAATAAATGTATACTGTGTGAGATATCATCCAAGTGACCAGAAATAGTTTCCTGTTAGTAAAGTATTTAACTTAGTTCTGGCTTTCTGCAAAAAAGATGCATAGAGGTTTATCAGCTTGCTATAGAACTTTCAGTTTGTAGAATTATGCTTCCTATTGTTTCACAGTCACACTTCAGCATCTTAGCAATATTAGTTTCACTACCTCTCTTAAAAAAAAAAAAAAAGGTCTATTAATCAAACACCTGAATTCCATACTCTGGGTTTTTAAGAGTAGGAGAAATAGAAGGAGTACCATGCTGCTCAACCCTTCAAAATTGAGGGAAGAGACACGGACTTCTAGTGACTACTAAAATTCAGTTAAATCAACAAAACTGTAGGAAGTGATAACACAATTTCAACAAAACAGAATTAGTTGTGTTAACTGTTTCCATTACATATTAAGTAATTAATTCAAATGAATTCCTATGTGGTCAAATGCACATCTAGTCTGAAAACACCAGCAAAACATGTTTTCCCACCAAAAAGCACTGATTCATTGGAATTAAATATTTGAGAAAAAGAGTATCTGCTCTGATGCAACCTGCCTAGTTTCCTGTCAATTTACCGAACACAATAAAGCGCTTCTAACTTCAGTTATACAGTGCTCAGAAGCAACTCAGATATGTGAGAAACACCTCAAAGTTCATGGTCCCTAGGATCTTCAAGACTTCTAGTTCTTGGTTGAGGTCTGAGTGTAACAGATACAACTTCCTGCTAAACACATGAAAACTTGGAGGCGTGGCTTGTAGTGAGACCTCATTAGTTTTCTGGAACAGATTGCTATGAGATAAGAAACAGTAACTGAACTATGAGTCTCTGAACTTAGACAACAAAATTTCAAGCTTTAATTGCATAATTTGATTACATTTTTCTTCTACAGAAAATGTAAAATCTATTTTTGATTGACAAGAAACTAGTTTTGAAGACCAGACTATTCAAATATTTGAATTTCTGAGGAAAAATAACTCATTTCACTACCAAATTATTTCTTTTCCTTGCTTAAAAACCTTGTGTATAACAACTTTTTGTTTCTCTAAAGTAAAACAATATTTCACCTTCACCACTGTGGACAAACGGCTCCCAAAATGCTCCCTTATGTGTGCAAGACAGTAACTCTCATACAGAGAAGGTATTGTTACAAAAAATAAATACAATTAAGTCACACGTCTAAATAAATGTAACAGAGGCACTATTCGGAAGTTCTTCAGATGAAGGAGTTTGGATGTTTTGCTGTTAAATTTTACTGAAAGTTTGAAGTTCTACTCTTTACACAGTGAACATGATTACTTACTCTTTGGCACTCCCTGAAAAAGCCACGTCCAGGTATTTCTAGATGAGCCGCTGGGATTTGAGGCAGGCGCTGGCACAGCTTCTGTGCTGGAAGACACCAGTGGTTTTGGAGATTGAGGCACATGGACTGGCGTAGCATTAGAATTATCACAGTTCACCACTGGCTGCTCATGAGCTTTTTGGGAAGGTGACTTGAGAAGTTCAGTTTGCATTTTCAAAATCTGTCCGACAGGATCAAATTCTTTGGACAATTTTTTGGTAGGCTTTCTAGGGGCATTTTTTCCCTGATCTGTGATACCTGAGTCAGTCATGCTTGCTAATGGCATCTGGGTAGGAGAAGGTGATTTGGCAGTCTCTGTTGAGGTATGAGAAACGGTGTTTGGTATAGGTGTTTTGCAACAATCAGTGTTTTTACATTCTGTATCAATTACCAAACGCTCTTCATCTGTGTCACTACTGCATAAAGAAGTGTAAGTCTCATTTTTTTGTTCATCAGACTCTTTCTTGTAACTAACAGCACTGGATTTTGTTTCATTGTCCAATGCTTCTCTGGTCATGACATTTTGTGCTTTATTCAGTCCTACCTCCTCTGAACTGAAGCTTTTATGAGATGAATTTTCTTCAGGGCTGAAGCACAGAATGTCCTCTAATGATGGAAGCTGCATGCTGGCACATTCCAAAACTCCTTGCTCTGAAATGGTGTTTTTTCCTTCTTCATCTTCACTATTTATGGTGGATATATTTTTTTCCCCCATTTTTAGGCCATGTGATAAAACTTTAGCAGTGTTACTAACTGTAGGAAAAGCACTTTCCATTTTAGAAGTTCTTGAGAGCTTGGCAGTTGCTCCAAAAGTTTCCAGTTCTGTAACATCAACATCAAAGTCCATCCCTGTGTCATCTGGAAGAGGAATCTTCCTGTACTGGTACGTATCAGAAGACCCCTGAACACAGGGAAGAAAAAAAAATAGTAATGTTTAAAAAAAAAAAAATCTATAAACAAAACAAACCAAGAAATAAAATGTGTTAATAATCACAAACATTGTCAAACTGAAAACATGAAAAATGTTCCACTACCCACATTTTGCCTGTTAGGAGAGAGGGGCAGTAACTGAAAAAAAATAAAATTCCTGTGTTTAACATGGAATATCTTAAGTCTTAGGAGTTGAAAGGCCTTTCAAAAGAGAAATAAAGTTCATAGAACTTTTCCCACTTAAATAAGCTGATCAAAATACGTTTTCATGAATGAAAGATTAAAGCTGAGATGCCAATCTAATAGAAGCATTTAAAGGAACTAGACAGACATTTTAAAACATAAGGTCCATAACTCAGCAGTAGAAAAACTACCAACAGAAAACCTTGATTTTCCTTCATTATCACAGAACAAGTAACTTAGGAATTTTAACATAGGCTTTTTGTTTTTAAGAAGAGGTGAAGCTACATACATCCCACTGAAACAGACTGTCCTCAGCTGGTTTGTCCATTGATACATGAGAAATCGAAACATAAGACGTTTTAGTTGCTAGGAAATCCATTGGAATTTCATGGAAGATTTGGTTCCTCTCTCTTATTGTCATTTCCTTTTTCAGCAGAGGTGAATCAACATATACCACTTTAGCTGGTTTGCTACCTTTTCAAGAATGGAAAGGGACCGAATACATATTAAATGCATTGAAAAAAAAGATTTTTGTATAATTTAAATAATAAATCTTTCAACTTCCAATTCTGGTCAAATCCATTCCACATTCACCCTAGAAGAAATTAAAAACTACCTTCTCATTCATTAACAACAGAAAATAAATCTATGTCCAGATACAGTGTGAATTATTAGGATCCTGCAGCAACAATACACACTACATTAACAGTCAATCATTTTTTAAATGCAGTTCTAAATAGAGAATTTGTTAAAGAATTTAGGATTCATCATTCCTTACACTGTATTTTATCATCAAATGTGTTCTGTTTTCCAAAAAGATCTTTCTTCTTTCTTTGATGAACCTCACATTTTTAATTATTTTTTTAAAGTCTCATCGCCCAAAAGCGATGGCTGCATATTTCTTCTAATCATTAACTATGCCCAGGATGTGCTCCACACTCTTGTTTACACCTTAACATACTTACATATGAATCATCCCTAATCTCATCCAAAAATAACAGCGATACCCTGCTCAATATTATACAGAAAGCAAAGGCACATGGTTACCACAGTATCACTGTTTTAGAAAAAAAAAAAAAATATAACGAATGCAAGAGGTAGGTTACAGGGTAGGTAGAAACAGAAGGAGAGGATAGACCCTTCAAGAAACACTATATATTGCTAACATATTCTGAATGCCCTTTAGGTGTTATCTTTGGATCTAAAAATTAAGTTTAAATCCTGTAAAGCTGATATAAAAGGAGTCAGGTATACTTTACATATGAAGTAATTTAATTTCATGTAAGCACATGCAGAATTTGTAAGATTTGCAGATATCTGACAGCTTATTTACTACTATCCAGAAGTCCGCTATGCACACAATATGGACATTCCAAGACAACAACCATTATAAACACTCATCATGAAAAAACACTAGTGTATTAAAAAAAAAAAAAAAGGTAACAAGAGGAAATCTAGAATTGACAACTGAAGTATACCATTCAGATGAGTTAATCGGTTTATTTAAAACATTTTTTGTTGCAATTGTGAAAAGTCATCTCCATGGACATTTATTATTTATTCATTGTTCTATGATGTCAATAGGTCTTTTTAATTCTAAAAAATCATTGTTGTTTTTTCATAAAACTTCAGAATCTCTCTTTTTTAGCTTACTGAAATTAGTTCATTTGATAATTTCAACAGCTTCACGCAGTTGTTTTCTTTCCAAGGAGCAGAGTTTACAGTTATGAAAAGCAAAAGGACATTTAACTGATTTATTCTTTTCCCCCAAGTGGAAAATAGCTATACATCCAAATTCAATGTTAATGGTGATACCTCTCTTGAGGTTGCTACTGTTCTCAGTAACAAGGTGGAACAAGGTGTAGAAAACTATGAAAAGACCTTGCTATCAGCTTTCCACCTTGAAAGAAAAAGACAAGCTATAGCAATGGATTTTTTTAATTATTTTTTTACAATAACTTTGAATAAACTAAACCTTTTCCTTTACAACACAAAGGTCTCTGACTCCTTACCAGATGACAGCTGAAAACTATTAACTTCAGAATTTTGCCCTTTAAGTAAGTAAAATTTTATTACTTTGTTTGATTTGCTAAATTAAAAACATGGAAGCATTTAAGAGAAAATATTCTCCTATAGCTGCATTCTAGAGTACTGCTTTTTCAGAAAGGGTAAAAATTTGAGCTTATAATTACAATTATGATTTTAATTAACCTTTGCTTCTTTTTTTAGTTTTTATTTTTTTTTAAAAAAAAGAACTATTCTATTATTGTGGCAACTCAATGAGACTGTCTTCTACCTTCCCAGAGTTGCTTTTACTGGATTTTCTAATTTCCTATTCGTCAGTATGCTTAAAAATGATTATGAAAAAAATCTAAAGGTCTTCATGGACAAAAATGTAGTTTTTATTAAAAAAGAACATACTATACCTTCAACGGGGATCATTTTAATGCAAACTGGAATTTCCCATTGTTCCTTGTAGTTTAGTCCATGATTATTCAGTAAAGTAAATAATGACTGATTACTCAGAACAACTTGTGGACAGTATTTCGAAGCAAGTTTCTCTGCATTTGAATCTGAACTAATATCCTAGAAAGCAAAGAGTTAAAAAGTTTAAAAAACACACACATACATTTAAATTAATAGGAAAAACCCCAAACCCAAACAGACATGAGTTAACCACCCTAGCCCCCTTTCCTGCCCACACACCCAAATACCACCACAGTGCCAGGCTTCCTAATCAAATGAAAAAAGAAAAAAAATCCCCCTAAGGGTTTTTGGCCGCATTTTCTGCATCCACCTTGCAGCATGAGAAAAACCTATCTTTTTATAACTTGTATCTTTCAGTTCGTTCCTGTTATTTTGAATTACTAGATTGAATGGGACTTTGGATAACCATGAAATGTGGGCGTGCATTACAGAAGGAAAAAACAAACTGATTCACTCACGCATATATTACAGATCTTCTAACAAGTTAAATAATAGCACAATAAAGACGTCCAACATTAAAATATGGTTAAAAGTGCCCAGTTGTTTAAATACAGATTACATATAAAGATTCTTGAAACAGATATAAAAACATGAAGTACAGAAATTCAGAATTGAAATGGTAAAATTATGAAACATTATGAATACAGTTTGCCATGAAGAGGAGGCTGGGAATGCTCATGAGATAGGAGGAGAATATCAACGACTAAGAAGATAATGGAAGTACAGGAGGACTGAGGGCCACGAGCAAGAAATAAGAATAATCTAGTTAGGTTTTTTCTGCCACATGAGACATCATCAGAAATAGTCTCTGTTTACAGCTATACCATCTCTTGAGGAATATATCATTCTCCTGTGTCACCTCTGCTACTTTCTTAAGCAAAAGTGTCTTTGCAATCATAGTGCCTCTGTTGACTGTTTTTTGTTATGTGAACAAACTCCTTATCTAAGTGGATAACAAATTATCTGGCATAAACAGACATAAACCCCAAGTTCTACAGCAAGAAAAACTCACAGATTTTCTCTGTGGAAGAACATAAATAGAAACATCACATATTTATCAATAAGGTGGAATGGAATCTAAAAATTGTTCAATGCCAAAATGAAGTTCACGCTGTTTAGTAAAAGAAATTCCCAGGGTAAGCTAACCTAATCAAATTTGCAGAAAACTAGGCAGTCTAAAGTACTTCTTCGTACCCTCAGGACTTCCTTCTTAAATCAGAAACCTTTACACCTACATCCATTCGTATGTACGTATACACACACAGAAGCCAGCTTAGAAATTGCAAAGCAAAGTTTAAAAGGAACTACACTGTAATAAACAATTCTATCTAGATTTCACAGTGTGTTCTAATTTAAGGACCTCTCTAATATTTCAATGATGGAACAGAGGCAGTCCCTTCAAAAGGTACTGTGTCCAAAAGGTAATAACCCAACTTTTGAAGAGGGAGGTGTGATTGCTACAAATGAAATACTAAACAAATAATGATACAGTTTATGTTCCTGTGCTACAAGGTGTGTTAGATTAGGAAAAAAAAAAGAAATTATTATGAAGTAACTTAATGCTGCCAAATAAGTAGGACCAAATCGCTCTTCTCATAAAAATTACAACAAAAGGGTTACTTACATTGTGCATAATAGAAGCCTTTTTTTCTGGAGTTATAATAGAGGTAACGGTTTTATAATCTGTCGGTAGCTGAACATATATGGTAGGAAATTCTGTTTTACCACGTCTTGCCGTACCCTTGAAGAAATCAAGCAGGATCAGAAAATAGCTTTAACTGAAATCATGTTGACCTGACACTGTACTTCTTATAATGAGAAATATTAAGAATATATGTGGATGTATTATAAAGTTAGTGTCATATTAAAAAAAAATACTATTACCGTAATCTTTTTATTGCGAACATACAGCGAAAGGTGTTAACAGCCTTACTACCAAAATAATTTCATTAATGTTTTCATTATAATTTATAATTAAAATTGTTAACCCCTAACCCAAGCACTGAATAATACTTGTAAAAAACCTGAATCCCTGCATAACACAATTCAGATGTAATTCTACTTATCTGAAAATAACACCAAAATATGTATAACGTAAGGTATTACCATTACAAGGAGATTTTTTTCCAGCCTAAAGGTCAACTGTGTATGAAACTTTCCTCCCATGATACTCATGATCTCCTGGAGCGTGTAAAACTCGGGATACTTTTGCACATGTTCAATACAGGCGTGTAATAATTCCTAACGTAAGAAGAAAAAATACTTTATGCATTTATATATTTCATAAGGAGTTAATTTTTAAAAGTTTTTCTGCAACTGCAAGTTGAATTTGCATATACTTTCTGTAGAGAATAGAGATACATTTAGCAGATTACTGCTAACAGACTTGTTTAACTTTTCCAGCTAGAGACATTATTTAAAAACTTAGAGATACCAGATACCACTCTATTATAATCTTACAGTCACTGGTATCAGAACTGAAACATATTCTAAATCCTCCTCAACCCTTCATATGCAAGGCTAACAATGTATGCACACAGGCTCAGATCAATCATTAAAAAAAGAGTTTAGCACGGTTTGAAATGTGCTAAACCAGGTAATTATTTTCTTTTCAATTTATTTATCTTGGCTTTTAGGGGAATTAGTATTTTTTTGTATTACTACCTAATTTACACTGGGCCTAGGTAAAAGTCACAAAGGTGAAGACATAGGAAGATTCAGCATATGTTGAAACTTGCTTTCATGCCAATTTAAGATCCTAAAATGAATACATAATTCATGTATCAGAAAAAAAAAAATTACATTTAGGTTTTATTTAATAAGAATGAGTTATTTCTGCAAGTACTGTTTAAAACTAAGTATGTGCCTCCGTTTCATTTTTAACTCAGGATATCAACCTAAGTTAGACTTCAAGTCTGGAGACACGTATTGTGATGAGATGACAAGATCACTTAGAAAGAGAGACACAAATGTAAGATGTAAAATTACAAAGCCAATCCTAATTCTTAGAAAAAAAGCAAGATTTTTGTCCTCATGTGTACCCAAACCATGTGTTAACGCAAGAAGAGATATATCTAGTGCATGAAAAAGTGCATAATAAAAAGTGTTATGGTGAAATAGAAGCAATCCTTCTGAATTTAACTAAATGCTCTACTCTCTAGTAAACACATTTTTTTTTCTGTTTCATTCTGTAAAAGACAGTGATGTATCACTCACTAGAAAAGGCTGAACTTTTATCAAAAACTATGTAAGTAGGCCATTTCAATTAAGGCAAGACACTATGAGGAAAACAGGCAAGAGCAAGTCAATAAACTGATGGAAAAGTCTAACGAACCTGTATTCCGGAATTTATTTCCCAAAATGTGATATTAAAGAATGATGCATAAAGTTGCATTCATGTTTGATTTTAGAATCAAAGTGGATATTTCACACAGCGTGAACTTGCAGATGATTATGATTAAAGCCAAAGTAACCTCTGATTACAGTGACTTTGTAACACGCTACTGTGGAAGAAACCTTAACATTCTGTCTGGTAGTGTGTATTTAGGAGCAGCTTGTCAATGTAAATGCACACTTAAAATGCAATTTCTCCCTTCCCAAATATAAAGATGTCATTTACTTAATTGAGGACTAAATCTTTGTACAGTAGTGTACTCCGTGACCTCACTGATATCAAATCTGATTGGCTACAATAAACTGCGGGCCACGCCATGCTGCACAGCGTAAGGGAAAGAGTGACTTCTCATGTCTCCCAGCAGGGCATGAGCAGAAGTTCAGGGAACATCAGATCCCATGAGCAGTGCCTATGTATCTTAATCACAACTCCAATATAATTATTTGGGAAGGAATTAAACACAATATTGGTAATTACCTCAGTGTAACGCTGCGCATCTTCAGAGATAGCATCATAATCTTGGGCACAGCTTTTTGCAGCATTTTGGGCAAATTTCATAAATTCTGCAACTTCATTGTTTAATGCTTCTTTCATTTGCTGATGGGGAAGGAAAAAGATCTATTTTTAAAGACAGAATGGAATCCTGTAGGCTAGGTATGTAACCAGCAAAGTTTCCAGAGAGGTAGCACAGGTGATGGTATGAGGGAGGGCAGAGGTTCCACTTGCTGCACAATTTGGCAACACATGTTCAGAGTTTCACTTAATTAAAATTTTTTTTTGCAAGGCCCATTTCCTTAAAAAAAAGAAAATCCCAAAGCAGCAAAACACCCCCATCCCAACAAACAGCAAGCTTCTTTTGATCATACACTGGTGGTTTAATAAAAAGAAAGGTTACAAGACGTTGTTGGAACAAGTTTACATGACAGAGCCACAAAGGTATCTGAGCTCCGACTTCAGAAGCGATTACAGTGTAAGTAACAACAATGCAGTAGGTACTGATTTGCCTGGGAATGACATTCCCATTATTACAGGGTATAAAAAAGGGAATTTGCTTTAACAAGGAAGCATGGAAAAGCAAATGTATTGGCTCAAAAGCATCTGCTGATTAATTATATTTTACAGGATTCAACTAAAATAGTACTTCCAACCAGTGTGAGGCATAGCCTTTCACTATTCAAACAATATTGCTGAGACTAAGGAGCAAGTGTGAAGCAGAAGTCAACACGCAGGTCCCTTCACATGCGAACAAAAAAAGTTCCCATTACAGGGTGCCCTCAAAGATCACATCAAAATGTATCCACCTCCTAACATTATACAAGATTGCTACATGTCATTATGAAATGCTAAAATCACAGTAAGGTCAGCTCTTAACCTCTTTCTCATAAAAACATGTGGGGTTTTGTGGGCATGGGTGGGTGTCTGATCAGCTGTCAAAGATCTACACTTACTGTCAGTTGTTTAGACTACTACTAAAAAAAGAAACAAAACATCCACAAAAAACCCACCTACTTTCAATGTGATAACTAAATGCACTCTCAGTTTATATTAAAAATGTTATTCTGAATATTTGAAACTTTACCATTCATAATACTATGTTAAAAGGCAATTATGACAAATTGAATTTTAAAACTTTTTTGCCGCATTTTTCCTTAACGCTTTGTAACAAAAAAATGGTATGACTCCCTCTGTGATGTTCATATGTACATATATGCACACTTACAAGATAGGTGAATAATTCTCTTTGACTTGCTGCATTAACTTGAAAATGGTTCTTTTTTTTTGAGTACTTATTCATCAGATATAAATATGTTTTCTGCTCCTTCTCAGTCAAACAAGAAGTAAATGGATAGGGGAGTCTAGGTTCTGGGAAAGGATGATCCTCAGTTGTGCTTTTAGCCTCCACCTCAATGGGATCTGCAGTTTGCATGCTACAAGGCTGTCTGTTTTCTGAAGAGTCTGCCAATGCCTCCACATTTTTCTTTGTCTCTCTGAAAGAAAAGCAATAAATGAAAGAACTTTTCACATAAATATTAATATTTGTCAACATTAATAAAGGCAGTCATGCAAGCCTAAACTTCAAATCCAGCAAAACATACTGTGAGATATTATCCTTTTCCAATTCATAGTCTATGTCATAGGAACTTTCTTATTCTGAAACTTCACCTGGACAATCAGATTAACCATTAGTACCAACAGCACGTTTGCCACTGGTTTAAACAGGAAAAAAAAAAAAAAAAATTCAAAAAACCCACAAAACTTTTTTTTTTTCTTAAAACAATATGGTGTATATATTAGTCTGTATACTCAATATTGAGGTGCCAAGCTGAATATGAAACTCCGAATATGAAACTCTGACACTTTGTTCTGGAAACACCCATTATCAATGAAAAGATAAAGAGTTTCAACATTGCATCATTCACTCATGGCTGGTGTTCAGAAACAGTCTGCACTCTGAAAGGTCTGACTTATTAATCAAAGTTATGACAGTAGAGGAGAAAGATTTAACTAGAAAAAGCCTTTCTTTCACCGCAAAAGAAGTAAGGTAAAACGACTTAACTGTTACAATAGAAATTCTGGATTTCAATTAAGAAAATCCTACCGAGTACACAATTCAAGAGTTTCATTTTCTAATCTAAGCAACACTGAAATCAGTTGCCGAAAATAATATTGGGCTAAGTCAAGGGGCATAGCTGGCCTAACAAAAACAAAGAAGTAACATTATAAAGCTGGTTCTTAAAACAGCTCCGGTATAAGACAACCATCTTATCCCTGCTCTATTTAAAATAATATTCTTAAGAGAGAAAATATTTAAGGTTAACAAAATGAACATTAACTGCTGATCTTGGAAAAAACATATTTTTAAGATACGATTTCAGCAGTAGAAAATATCTCAAGTGTTATTCAAACCCAGCAGTATCACATCCACAGTTCTTAATAATACTTCACAGCTGTCTCTCTGAATATGAGAATGTGTCCATCCTCATGGCACAAACTGGCAAATTTAATTAAGCTGCAGCAGCGACAAGATGCTGACTCAGATATGCCAATGTAGGAACATCAAGAAATTCTAGCAGCTTAAATTGGCTATATTCAGCACTGAACGAAATGGCAGCACATCAAGATCATTTCAGTATGCAGTGCTGTCACAGTCTTCATCAGGGTGCAAACCAAAATAATCTGACAGAGCTTTTCTGTCCATATTTACAGCATTATACTTTATTTGAGCTGACGGCTTAAATTTTTCCCCTTCGTTTTATCAGCAACCTGCCTTCACAGTTTCTATGGTGAGAGAACATACGCTTTAGCAAATACCTATCAGAAACCCCAATATAAAAATTGACAAATTTCCTCTAGCTTTTACTTTCACATTTGCCCCAAGAGTTACATTTCTCTTGACTATGGCCACACAACACAGTTCCATCAGTTTCTAATTTTTTCTTGTTGCAACCTCTCTTCTGGCTACAAACCCACTTCTACCACACACAACTGAACACATTCCCACTCTTGTGTGCAGGCATGTCTACTCCAGAAACCCTTTTTCTACATTCTCCAAAAGAAGAATCCTATAGTAATATTCAGTGTACCCAGCAGAAAGCTGTGAGGGCTGCGCACATTTCCGCCAGTTCGAGGGAAGTTGCTACAGAGGTGAACAAGAAAAGCCTTCTCTAACTAAAGACATGGGATATAAAGAGTCATGTGATGTAGACAAGTATTCCCCTCAAATGCGCGTTCTTAGTGTCAGTTCCTACAAATACAGTAGTTCCCCTTTAGAACAAATTATTTCTCCACATGTTGAACTCCCCACTTAGAGCACAGTAACTACCTTGGCATCCCACCCACATTCTTTGTGATGTGAATGTTAACCCTCCATGACTACTTGCCACTTGTAGCTCCCTACCAGCCTAATGACTTCTTAAAAAGACCACAGTAACCTAAATACAGTCCTCCAATTTTTGAAATCCAGTAGCATAAGCCACACTTTTCACTATGCAAAAGAAATGTTAATTCTCTTTCAACTCAAGAAAAAAGACATCAAAATTGCACAAACAATACTACCTGTACCACCTGTGTTCACATAATTTCATTTCCCATTCTTCAGCTAACACTCTATAGTTTCTTCATTACTCCAGGAATTAACTGCATCTCCACAACACCTAAGACGCCGTTGGAACTATGTAAACAGTGATGGCTACTTCCAAAAGATAACAAATAAAAAGGATTTCAATGTACACTATTGTCAACCTTCTACAAAGTGAGAAGACACAGACAGACAGTAAGACATTAATTTCTAAAAAGAATTACATGTGGTTCTTGAGTTACAGGATCCTTACTGTGGCCAGTTATGAGTGTGGCTCGAACTTCAGCCCACTTTGGTACACAGAGAAAAAGTATACAAGAGAAAGCAACAAACAAGCACCACCCCCCAAAAATAATCCAAACCCCATCCCAAAACCCCCAAAATACACAAACAATCTGAGGTCCCAACCTAGACTCTTCCTGCTTTCTCAGGTTTCACAACAGGTAAAGCACAAGTCAACTGCTAGACCAAGAAATCAGAAATAAACCCTTGCATGCCAGATAACATGAAGCTTTCCGCCAAAAGAATAAGGGTATATATCAATAGGATGATGAGAAACAGCACAAAACTATAACATAACAGAATATACCTGTTTGATAAATGCCATAGTTCAGAGAGGCTCGGAGCCAATGAATATTTTTCATAGATTTCACGTGAGAAAAATACTTCACTGCCATTTTTTGGTGAAATATCCCTGATAATTAAAAAAAAAAAAAAAAAAAAAAAAAAAAAAGCGCGCATTACAATACACAGAAAGTTAAAGGCAACATCTGTCCCCAAGAAGCAAATAACAGAACTGTTTATTAAAAAAAACACACAAGAGGCTGTCTAAAATGGTTTTATGTTTCCACATTTCCTCTTTATGGAAGTTATACATATCCTGTCTAAATCCCCACTGGTTTTCAATAGTAAAATACACATATTCTTGACAGTCCAGAAAGAACAATTTCAGAAATACAGGATATAAATTTCAGATGTAACAGGAGAAATTCTGATGGAGTTACACACTTTCAGATGTTCATTAATCAAAAACAAACACTGGATTGAACTTGCTGGAACTTTGAGAAAAACACAACGATCTCGGTTTTTGTTTTCCACAAAAGAGGTATTTTGGCTTCTAGACAGACCCTGCCTTTGTTTTTTAACATAGCGCTTCCCCTTCACAGGGTTCCCACGACGCCAATTTTCCCAAACTATTCTGAAAAGCGTGAGAAAATACTTACTTCTGTCTTCCTCACGAATAAACTAGTTCAAAACCAACTCACCTCTCTAGCTTTAAAAAGCCAAAATACTTCACTGTAAGGCTTTTCATATTAAAACCAAGAACCATGTCACTACCCCAAATCCATATCGCGGATGTGCATTACTTGACTGTACTTCATTTTCGAACATACACAAGCGTAACTCTTCCTCGGCAAAAAGGCACTCGCTCCTACCGCCTTACCCTGACAGATCGATAAAAAATGGCGCCGCCCCACCCTCCCTCAGCGCCGGGGCGGAGCCGGGCGGGCGCGGGAACGCAGGCCTGCCCCGCTCCGCTCCGCCGGGCGCATGCGAGTCCCCGCCGTGCGGCGGGCAGGGCGGCGTGGGGCCATATTCCCGCCCACCGCTCTTCAGCGGCCGTGCTGGGAGAGGGGGAAACGGACTCACCAGGTCAGCAGCTGCCCTCTGGCTGCCATCTTGGCGACCCTCTTCGAGGAAGCGTGTTCGCTGGCTCCTCGTCTTTCTGCCGCCTGAGCCTGTTTCGGGGCACTGGCCAATCAGCGTAGTAGAGCGCCCCGGCGCGCGGCATCAGGTGTTCTGAGCCAGCCAATGGCAACGTGGGCTCGAGCAGCTGCTGAAGGGGCTGCGGCGGCCATCTTGTGGCAGGTGGCACTGCTGCAGGCTAGGGCTGAGGAGCCGCCGGCCAGGCCCGGCCCCGTCCCACCTCGCCGGGAAATTAAGTGTGCCTAAGGCCTCTCTGCGCTGTGGGCTCTGCTCCGACTCCACGTTCTTCGCTTAAGGTGTGGCCCCAACTAGGTGTTGGGTGCCTCGAGTGGCACTTCCTTCCCTGGGTGTGCAGAGGTGGATGGGCCGGGCTCTGCCCGGCGACTCGTACCTCAGCGGGTTGGGGCTGTGTGTGAGGGCTGAGGTGCCCTGCAGAGGTTGCTGTATTTATCAGCTTCCCTCCTCTCCTGGGCTTCCACTTTCCCTGGATCACTTTCCACTTGTTAACATGTGGGCAGAGCTGCAAAACTTTTTTTTTTTTTTTTTTTTTTTTTTTTTTTTTGATGATGATTAGGCTTTCCAGTTTGGTAAAGTGTGGAATTCAAATATGCTCAGTACCTGTAAGTTCAGGTGATGGAAACTCATTTGCTTGTGATGTTAAAAGGTGATCCCCTTCACAGCTCTGCAGATGGAGAAGTGATGAGGGAAGTGAGGATTGTGGCATGAAGCAATCAAAGTGTTCCCAGCACTTAGTCCCATAAATAAGACTCTGGGCACCATACACAAATACATAAGAACACTGAGATGATTCAGAATCATGTCCAAACCCACCAGCAAAGGAGTCACTTCAGCTTGCTTGCAGAACAGTTTTAAGGACATTGTTTGATGTTATTTCTGCCCTTTCTTGTTTTTTGTATCTCAGAGAAGTGGAAAGTTTTCTATCTCACTACTGGATCCACCTAGAGCCCGGTCCTGGAGGTAGCCTTGTGAAGAGTAATCTGACTTCAAAACCCAGGTATGGTAACAGTTACATAGCAGAATGATTAGAAGACATAGATTGTGAATGTGGCAGGTTAAATCCCACTTCAGACTGCATCTCTAAAACCTGTAGTGTGTGGGTTTTTTTTGTTGTTGTTTTGTTGTTTTTTGTTGTTTTTTTTTTTTTTTTTTTTAAATGGTGTTGCTTCCTACATGTGATCTTTCAACTTCCATGACATAAACATGAACATCCAGAAACACTTTTTTGCTGTGAAGGTGACCAGCAGTGACACAAGTTGCTCAGAGGGGTCGTGGAATCGCCATCCTTGGAGACACTCAAAAGCTATCTGGACATGGTTCTGGGCAACCAGGTGGCCCTGCTTGTGACCTCTGGAGGTCCCTGCCAACCTCAACTATTCTGTGAGAAAAAACCCCACACCACCTCATAACCTACAGTTCAGCTTTCCTTATGGGCAGGAATGGGAGTCCTCAGTTTGTCTCTCACTTCAGAAAAATTTCTGTGTTTTATATTGAACATATATATATATATATATAGGTTTATAGAGTTGTTGCCTAACCTGTATCTTGGTGGTTAGGAACTCTCCTTTAAGTGGGAAGATTGCACAGGAATCATGTCCTGAGGATAAGAAAATGAAGTCTGGATTTTCAGTGTTTCAAAGATTACTTGTCATGGAGCTACTATAGAACAAATGGCACTACTTAGTGCTACAGTTCTAAGAAAGCAACCACTTCTACTGCTTCTTTTTGCAGACTTGATCTGTAGGTGAAGGCTGCTTCCAGATAAAGTGCTTCAAAGGTGAATGCTAATACTTATTTCTAGATCATGGTCAGGCATATAAATGCTCAGCTGTTAAAGCTCTGTCAAGACTGAGGCATTTCTGGGTAGGTGCAGAAGTATAATTTTACATGCCTGAAGTCTGAAGACCAAGTGTGCTGTTGACAAAAGTTAGCACTGCAGAGGGGAGATGCAACTTTGAATTTTGATGCCTAAATTGTATCAAAATGACAGTTTTGAAACCCAAATTCTCATTTAGATCTAGCCCAAAGCAGTATTTCCAAACTCACTGGGAAGGCCTTAAGCCAGATTTCTTGTATCTTGCACTTGGTGCAGCGAACTGTTACTTCAAACAAGATGGCACCTTCAAGGAGAGGGGAGGTAGATTAATCCACATTAATTCTGAGGAGGTTTAAAGCTCTTGTTGGCCAAAGGGCAGCTTAAAAGGTGCTGGGGAGTTGTCCCTGCTGCCAAACGTTACGTGATGTATGTGCTAAACAGCTCTGATATACATGCTTAGAAGCACAGCATAGTTTTGTAATGTTGCATTCCTTAAGGAATAAACCTAATAAACCACAATTCAGAAAAACCAAGATGCTACTGACAAAAAATTAAGACAGATTTTTCCATTAGAAGCTGAAGTTTTATTACAGGATAACAGTACATAAAGCACATCTAAAATCGATGTGTTCAATGCACTTAATAAAGGTAATGTAATATTAAAGGTACAGTTTCTAAGTACAATATAACAACATTCATATTAGAATGAAAATTGGAGTATTTAAAAGACAACATTAAATCTCTTATTTTTACAGTCATATTTACAAAATGAATCAAAATACTTTTTTCGGGACTGAGTAAAATAACAAACTTGAATATAAGCAGGCTATTGTAAGAGTGAGTTGGAAAGGTCCATGAAAGTGAAAAGTGATTGGGTAAAGATCATTAGCAAAGGTTTAGTACAATACCACTTTAGTATTCCTCTTGATGGCTTACATTTTATTGTAGCTAGAAAAGGAATTTATACATACCGTACACATAACAGACAGCATATATTTACATGTACAGTATAATTGCATTTAAACTTGTGTGTATTTACAGAAAATTGAGCATATAACTCAACGAGGTTTTTGAAGTCTATGTGCTTAATCTTCAAACTGATGTCTATTTGTAATCAGCATTTATTCTGGTCTTGTTACGTTGAAAATTTAGTAAACAGGGAGAGTATATGTTAACCAATGATTTTGCATAAATATATCAATCTATTAAAACGATAGGGAGAACATGTTCCTGGCATTATGTATAGGTTAGTACAAACAAATTTAAGAGCAAGTCCTTTTCTCTTTGAAAATATCAAAAGGTGACTGAAATCAACAAGGGAAAATAAAATCGTCATGGCTTATATTTAAATCAGATTGTAGCTTCAAGAGGTTTTTATAATTGTCCTGATAGTGTTTGCAATTAAACATTCCACTTATGAAAATATACCCACATTGCAGTAAAGTTTGCATTTATTTTTAGGACAACAGTATGTTTGCTGTTTAAAAAAAATTATTTATATATATATATTCCTTGGATTGAGGGTATAAAAGCAGTGCATGGAAGCCAAGAACCATGGCTTTAAAATTCACTACCTTCTATTATCAAAAAGTGCAGTAAACAGAAACATTGTATTTAATAAATTGCTCAAAAATCTTTGCTAAAGATCTTATAAATTCAGTAATATTACAGAAAAATTCTAATAAATATTTAAAAGGTTAATTACCTCCTTAGTTAGATATTTGATATCCATCAGTTTCTAAGAATTAACATGAAAACAATATCTAGAATGAAAGCAACAGGGGATAGGAATACTTTTAAGGGTACATGACTATGTAAATTAAGGTATACATGAAAAATAAAAACAAAACCCCCAGACCTGACAAAACATTGCAAATTCCACTTCTTAATTAACTTTAGTTGCTAATGGCTGTCCATGGATATGTATGGATGATTTATAAAGCATATCCAAGGACTGAATTTAGCCATCTATCTATCATGGAAGATTTACAGAAAATTCCTATTTACAGTAACTGGAGTTAAGTGTGTAGGCATGGCCTAGTAACATCCGCAGTTTGAGTGTGTACAGATCCTATTTAAAGTGAAGGGGGAGGAAGGCACCCAGCAGAATAACGTCTATAAATACCAGATGCAATGACAGGATAGAAGTCTCCCAACAAGCCAACTACCTCCCTTTCACACAGACAGCATATTGTAATTACTTTATACTGACAGATTAGTAGTTTTTCTTTTTTTTCTGATACAATACAGGCAGACTGTTTTAGTAACCAAAAGGATAATAAGCTGGACAGAACATTTTTATTAACGTTAATAATTAATAATGTTAATAATGTAGAAAAAAATTTCTACATTTGATATCAAGTATCTGTACTGGTGAAGTAATTTTCTCCTTATTAAATATACTATAGAATAATTTATATAATGACACTATGCATTTAAAGAGAAAACCATGTCCCAAATCTTGTACTCTGATACAGGTACTTGTTGGGCATATGTTGGTGTATATATATATATATACACAAATATATATATATTTATATATAGTTATACTCAGTGAAATTAACAAGACCCAAAGGTGGTATTGTCTAGGAATAAAAGGGGTTTGTTTGCTTTTGTTCACAAAAGTAACTTATCTAGCACCACACATCAGAAAAACACAAAAATAGCACACTCTAGTTCTAAACAGCTATGTCTAAAATAGATTATATAGTAAAACAGATATTATACAGCATAATGTATTTGATAAACAGATAAATATTTGCACTGTGTAGGCTGTTTATAGTATAACTTTATCTATACAGAATGAAAGCAAAAAGTTAACTGTATAGAGGTGAGCAGAACAACATTAAATATTGTGACTCCAAAGCAGAGACAAAGTTAGAGTTGAAAGAATAGAGCAAGATAAAATGTTTACAGGCCATTACAAGTCCTTAAATTAGTAGTAAAATAAGGAATCAGTTGCTCAAGTTTAAGAAAGCAGTAAACAAGAGATTGCATTTACATGCAGATGTCTAAAACTTGTATTTCTTTTAAATCTATGCACAAAAAGTCATTTGTTTTTATTGCTTGACATTCAGTTATGGCTAGAGTATTTTTAACCTTTTTTTTTTGTACTTTGGAAACAAGAATATTGTTAAAGGTGCCATAAAAATGGACAACATTGAAAACAGTTTGCAAATAAACCACCTAACACTGCAGTTCTTTATACATTTTAAAAAGCCTTGTCTGGGGTTTGTCATATGTTAAATATATTTAATCTGGGAAAATACATTGTAGCTTGAAGCCTCCCATTGGCCCAAACATCCAATACAAAAACACATCTCCAGAAAAGGAGCAGGCAGACAATACAGTTACATATAAAGAAGCAGCCAGTTAATGTCCTAATAGTTCAAATATTCACCACTGTTCTGTAACTGGTTTCTAAATCAATGTAGAAATGAGGAACATTTTGGATTTAGAAAGGTGTACAGTACGTATGCCTTTTTGTGAAATAAAATTCACTGTATTGCTTATGAATTCTCTGCATTAGATATAAATAGCATTACAGATTGCAAGTTCCTGTAAAGTTTGTGCATCTACATAAAGACTTTGTGGGGTAATTTAGGGTAGTGTTTCTCAAACTGAAAGTCACAACCATTTGAAAGTTGCTGAAGTGTTTAGGTATTATCAAAACACTGCATCAGACAAAGGTAGCTGGGTTCCACGTACGGCGCGGCCGCTCTGGTCTCCAGTGCAGAGCGTGGGGATGTGCTGGCTGCAGGCAAGCGTGGGCCAGGGACCTCGCCCCACTTACTGGCTGCAGCTTGGCCTCCCCAGCGTGGGGCTGCTGGCTGCAAGCATGTGCAGTAGCCAGGGAGTTATTGCCTACTAGCAGCAGCTCAGTTCCTTCAGTGAGGAAAGACCGCTGGTAATTTCAGCTGGTTCCCACTCCCCGCCCCAGAAAAACCAAGTGAATTCCAACACAGAGAGCCATATGAAGAAATATAGCCCAGAGGGACTGTGCTTTCAGAAAGCTTGAGAAACACTGACTTAGAGGAAAACAAGTATACAAAGGACATAAGAACACCAAAAACATGCAGATGTTAACAAAAAGGTGTGACATCACACATCAAGTTAAGCAACTTGATTGTGACGTTCATCTTGAAGAAATGATGAAATTATGAGGGAAGACATACAAGTGAATATTGTGGCAGAAGAAACGAACCTATGAGTATTGATCTGAAGCCTTTATCATGTTTTGTTTCTTATTTGGATAGCCTGCTTATTGCTATAAAGTTATTGCTATATTCTACCAATGATAAAGGCAAAAAAACCCACCAAACAAAACAGTAACATCACGTATGAAAAAGGTAGAATACAGCTTTTATTTTGATGTTAAAATTCTATTTAGTACCTGAATAAAGTTCCAAAGTATGTTATCCTAATGTTACATATTTTTCCCCTCAAGTCCAGTGACAGCATTATTTAGTGAGTTATTATCACAGTACTAGGATTAAAGCACATACTCCAATGATTTTTAAATAAATATTCATTTAAATTTTAAAACTTTTCTTGTTGTATTTGGTATCTGTATGCATTTGCCCTCATTTCTACCAGATGATTTACTGACTGGAATATTTAAGCATAAAGAAAATAGGATGCTAATATTCAAATATATTCATGGCTGAAACTTTACAAGTAATAAATAGTAGTATTAATAATGAAAAATATTTCTAGTAGTTATATTTCTCCAGCTAAGGAAAATGAAGATGTTTTTTCTGTGCAGTCTGAATCAGCTAGCACAGGTAGAATTTCATATATGGAATAGAATATACTCAAGAGAAAATTGCTTATTATTTTTGCATATTGGATAGTAAATGTTGTTTCTGACATATTAATAAGTTTACCTACACTGGGGAGTTTAGGAATGTGTAGAGAAAAAAATACACATTGTTTGCACAGCTTACACTGTGCAATCTGTTTTGTTCATCAAGTACAGACTGGGGAATGTCTATGCCAATCTAAGAAAAGATATGGTAATGTTTGGATCACCCCACTACATAGTTAAAATGTCTTACAGATTTACATATTAACAGTACATTTAATTGATACTGTGGCAGGTATATAAAGCATAGGTTCTACTGTGAGTCAGCAATAGGAGTTTTCTTCTACTGAAGATGCCAGAACACAAACTGGTCGAGAGGTCATACTTGCTAAGCAGTTATCTGCCTTGGAAGGCCATTCCAAGCTAAACTCAACCGTCAGCTTGTAAAACCATAAGAAAGCTTTCCCTGGTTATTAAGCAACCTAAAGTGAACAACTGGAAGCCACAGACCCAGTGAAAAAACCCTCAGTAACCTAAGATACTGCAGAACTGATGATTTTTGCAAGAAGACAGACCTGTTTGATGGAGAAATTCACTCGCTTCCCAATCTAACCAGTCTTGAAATCTTGCTTGTTTTGTTTGTAGTTGCTTATTTACTCCTCTACTTATATTTTCAAAAGAATTTGAAGCCATAAAACGAGGCTAATTGGGACAGGCTTCCAGAGTCCTACAGTTTGGCACTTGGAAACTTCCTAGACTTTGCTGTTTTTTGGTGCCATTGTAATCACTTTGAATTGCTGTATTGGACGTACTAGATACGAAAATGTCTTCGGCCTCAGTGTTTCTTTCCAGTCCAGTTTATTCCTTTACCATGAAGCATACGCACATATGCAACAATGACGGACAACATCTGAAGTGTTGTTCTGGTACTCCTGCAGATCTGCGTACCTTTCTATGTGACTTCATTGCTAAAACGTAACCATTACCTTTTCATTCTTACTGTACTAGCATAAACTGATTTGTTTTCTTTGATGATAATTTAAGTACTGAAACCCCATTTTCTATTGCAGAACACTGAAATTCAGCTGGAAAAATAGTCCTATCGTTATGAAAATGTCCAGAGAATATTGAAATTAATTTCAATCATTTATATAATGGGTTAGCATTAATTTATTTTCTAAAATATAATTGAAAAACCTTTGCACTGTTTGGAGTACTTTTGTTTTGAATAAAATAAAGACCAAAGAGCAGCTATACTGCAAAATTGAGTAAGATAATGAGGCACGCATAGAGCATATAGTTAAAATATCCAGTTCTCTTGTGCCTGGGGAAGGGGGGAAGGGAAGAAATACTAGCATATTTTGTAAAAAGTAATTTGTTCCACCAGTAGTACTGGCCACCCTGTTGAAGAGTTTTAGAAGATCCCTGAGCACATTAGTTTCTGACTCTTAACCCCAGCTCCAAAATGATAGGGCTTCTGTTGTTGGTAACGAGATGGATTGTCATTCACAGTTAAGTCAATCATAAGGTGCTTATCTGTTTACCCTTTTTTTCACCAATCAGCACAAAGAACTGTCAGAAAATAACTTTTATTTTTCTTTTTTAAATAATAAAAGGGCACAAAATTTAAACAATCAATGTTTTGTGACAGTGGTTTAGGATTATTATCTGGCTGCCCCTCAACAACAGACAAGTGATTCAATTGACATTCCTTAGCAAAAAAAAAAAAAAAAAAAAAAAAAGGCAAAAAAAAGAAAAATCCTGTACAAATATGTATTTTTCCCTGAGGGATCAAGGTTACACCCGCAAGTGCTCTATGTACATATTGCACTGTAGAGGAATGAAGAACATGTGCAAAAAAAGCAACAATGATTGAAGCTTACTAATCAAACCTTTTAATCATGACTGCTATGTCATCTTGCATTTTGGAATGTTGGAACACAGCTATTCCTTTAATCTAAAATGTAAAAAAGAAAAAAAAAAAAGAAAAAGAAAAACACACCTCTACTATGGCACATTCAATGAAATAAAAAGTTTTCCAAAGACAAATAGACAAATTCCATCAAGAAAATAATACAAAGTTCGTTCATTTGTTTTTTTTTTGTTTTTTAGAAAAATTACATTACTTTCTTTCATTGTTTCACATTACAAAATCTTTTTTTTTTTTTTAATGTTTACACAAATCACATTTTATTGCAGGAATATTTCAAGTGCCATCAAACATTTATAGAAGGGTTAAAAAAATAGAAGTCTCTCTAAAGTGGTCCAGACAAGGCTTTGTATAGAATAAATCTTTTTTTTCCACCTTCTATTTTTGACTTAAGTATGTCGAATACATTTTCTTTATTCCATTGACACTTAACAGCCTAGAAGCAGCCACTCACACGTACCCACGCATATATTCATGTGTGCACACAAATGTACTCTCTCACACACATACAGGTGCACATACACACACAGATATCTTGGTATCCATACTAAGATAAGCTTTAATAAAGAACAACCAAACTTAAAAACAGCCTCCCTTTTCACCTAATCCCATAGTTTTTAAAATGTCAAACAATGTTGGAGATGTTGAAGTATATTAGGGTGGTTCAAATGACAGTATAGTATCTCTTTCCTAGAAAGCCAGAAAACATCTCTGTGGGTAGATCTAACATCCCATGAAAATCGCTTTGCAGACTTTAAGGAACAGGTCATTCACAACCTATATATTCTTCCTTTATCTTCAGCTGTCCTCACGTTTTTCTTTGTAGTGAACTGGGCAGAATATGAAAACACTCATGTATGTGAATATCCACTGACCCCAAGTGTGTTTTTCAACTGAATATTTGCTTGATCATCTGATACCAGGCCATAGCCCGAGCAGTTCTGCAGAGCGCATTTCCTCTGCTGCTTTGGGTTCTTGTGGCCGTCGGCCTGAGCAGCTACACTGACGTTATTCTACGCCTGCTTTCCTAAAAGCCTCCTTGGCAACAGAAGTCTTAGCAGTACATCTGCCATGCTGGATCCCTTTTTCCTCCCCTCTCTATGAAGAGCAAACCAAAAATAATATTCTATTGCCAAGTGGCTGTTAACTGCAATCAGGAAAGCAGAGTTACTTGGGGTCTGTATGAACAGCCCGAATTAACAAGGTGCCTGTACACAGGAGCTCCCGCAGACAAAAACAACAGCACTTTCTGGCCTGGAAGATCACGTCACAAGCTGTTTTCTGATGGCAAAGGGCTTTCAGCTAAGGCCCTATCTGGAACATTTTTATAGTTATGTATTTTATTAGTAAACGCTCCAAGAATCTGTGTTGTCAATGATTTATGGGTGTAAATATGCTGAACTAGATACCAACTGGCACCTAGATACCTGGTAAAGTACTAACATTTATCAGGAAAAGGTAAGAAAAGGACGTGGCTGAAAATTAATCCCCAATATTTTGCCTACTTATTGTCAGAAGTAGGAGTTGTATCTCGGTCTCTAAAAAAGTACAGGTCTTACTTTATTATTCATTAGCTGACACTGAAATTAAGTTTAGTTGATCTTTACACGACTAGCACCTAAGGCTGGTCACATTCAGAAAACATGTTAGTTAAAAGGGTTGCTTTAAAAATAGGAACACGCATTAGAATGAAAGTACCGTATCGTGCCAGTTACTCCAATAAAGTAAACAATGATCCTGGGAAGAGTGTTTCAGGGAGACTGGAGAGAGCACGTGTGGGGCTGCGAGCCACCCTGCGGGGGCAGGCAGGGTGGAGCAGTGGAAGGATGGCTCTATGGACTTTCTCCCAAAGCTCCCTCAGGCCACCATCCCGGTGCTGCCCTCCCACAGCCCGGGGCATACTGCCTGAAGGGGCAACATGCAGCTCATCTCCCCTGCTTTCAAACCATAGAGATGAGTGAGAGCTGTGAGATTCCCTGACGTGGTAGACTACGTGTCACAGCTGAATGTCTCAACTTGACCCCAAAGGAAACATGTTCAAATCATGGAATAAACCTCTCTTTTGCTTATTATAACCCACGGATCTAATTCTCCTTTTTAAAATAGTTAGGCTTCAGTGTGCTTCTATTCACTTCTGTTACTTCTCAACGACTGCAGTATATGCAAGGGATTGTTTATACTTGGAAATTAAAGCAGTGGAGCACATTCTGTCTCATTCCTTTTTTTTTTTTTTTTTTTTTGAAAGTTTCTGGCTTTTTCTTATGTACTTCATCAGAAACTTCAGTGGTGTAGGCAATCCAATTATACATCTTCATCTCATACAAACCAGTTATGCACCTCCGGCTCAAAGAGCCAGTTTATTTTGTGATGTCGTTCATTATGAATCTGCTTCCTCCAGAACTAGGTTTACTTGCCATATTTGCTCAGAGACAATATTCCTCCTATAGGGAATGGTAATTAATAATAAAGACTGGAATATTTGGCTTATTGGTTGGTTATGCAGTATCACAATTTCAGAATTATGATATTCATGATTTCCAGGCATTATACAGAGTACAAAACAATGCTTTCTAGCAACAGTGTGCCTTTACTTTGTTAGTCTGTCCTCATCTGATAAAGTGCATCTTTTTAAATAATGAGAGCAATGGACTTCTCTGTTCAGCTGCCTGAAATGGAACTGCTGGATGCTGGAAGAACAGGGGTCAGTGTCTCATCTCACTGAAGTCCAAGACAAACCTCCTATGGATTTTGATAGGCTAGAGTTTGAAGGCATTGTTTACTATATGGAGTAGAAAAGTATGTAATACTATGTCTAAAAATTACTTTTCCACATACATGTCATACCCACATACTTTTACTGCAGATACAGACTTGAGTAAATACCTTCAAACCTGGATTTACGGTGGGCAGAAATACAGTTTATTTAATAGCCTGATTTTGAAGGATGCTGTGTCACTCATTTGTAAATGATCTGTAATTGCTTAGTTTAACTTTGACCACAGAAACTCAGCACCTTTGAAAATGAGGCTTTTGACTTTTGCACCTAAATTTGAATTTAGGCATGTAACTGTAAACATCCAGGTTTGAAAGATTTGAAAATGAAAGTACCTTTGAATTTAACAGTGGGAAAGGTGAGTTTAATTTAGAAAACTGTCATTATTTTTAACTCATTAAAAAAATCTGTAACCATTTCAGGATATGACCAGCCTCTCTTTAAAAGTAACATGGAAAACAGCAGCATAAATACCTCCCAATGTACCAGTACCTGCCAAACCTTTTTCAGTTAAACTTGAATTTCTGGTGCACATGCAACACAACAATGAACACACTAGCATTTAATTTAAAGAAAAAGGTGCAAAATGAAAGTGCCTTATCAATTCAACAAGAAAAGCTATACCAGTAACTACATTTTATATTAATTAAAACAATATATAAACAATATCTCTTTTGCTATATATAGTCTTCATGCCCATTTACCCTGTAATATATTATAATGCTATTGTTGCTATTGCTATGGACCCTTTTCATGCCGTTCTGTCTACTGGCAAACAGTGGTAGGTGAAAAAAATCGTCCTTCATGAAACAATGAGCAAGTTGTGCAAACTGATGCTGAAATCTCTGCAATGCACACCAGTCGCTGATTACTAGGTGGACTCTGTTCTGATCAACAAATTGATTGTTCTGTCAAAAGTCTGGGCAGTGAACTACGAGAGAAAACAACCTTCTGATACTAGTACCCTCAGTCTGTGTAAACAGAGGTCAAGGATTGAGAAGCTGAGACAGAAAAAGGGTCCATATTTGTAGGCATAATGGAAATCATATGCATGAGAAAAACAAGTTCAACTTTGTTTCATTGTTTCCCATCCTTCGCCTGACCCCGACCGCCAAGAGATGTGCAGTGTGTTGGCTCCCTAGGTCTGTGCAGGGCCATATAAAGTGTCTTGGTTTTCTTTCTTTTTTTTTTTTTCTTTTTTTTTTTTTTTTCCTTTTGTTTTAATGTTTGTACTTCGGACATTCTAGAAGTGCTTAGGTGATACGTTTACCCATCAATTTGCATCGCTGGCTCAAATTCTGAAGTGAACAACTCCTTGTAAAGTGGAGGAAAATGAAGTCGTACAATGTCTGGGTATATTGCTTTAAATGCCATAAGCTTTTCTGTATGTCGTCCACACAGTGCTCTTAAAGTAGACACTTTGCATATTAACTGTAAAAAAATGAACAGAAGTCATACGGTCATATATGGAACCAGGCCTCCCAATCTTGCGCTTAGGATTAAAACTCTCCCAAAGTCTTTGAGTTCACTTCAGTTGTTTACTTTAACAATGACATTTCAGTTGCCTAGTCCTGAATGTTTGTTACATTAGATTGAAAAAAAAAAAAAAAAAGGAAGCCACGAAAAAGCTGTTTAAGTCATGAATTAATGCTATTTGTGAAATAATATTTAAATTCATAGGAAAATGCATCATTAGGTTTCCTCAATTGCCAAGCACTAGACTGATATAGAAGTATTTCATGGCTGGATCTTCATTCATGCAGCTTGGTCATTCTCTTGGAAGAAGGCAGTCCTGACTACTTTTAAACCCACTGTGAATATTATAGAGAAAACTGGCAGTGCAATAGATTAGGCTTTTTTAATTTATACCAAATCAGGTGAAAAGGAGCAGACCAGAAAAATTTGTACTTCAAAAATATAACTAGGGTACTTCCTGAACTTGCTGGGTAAATTATTTGTAATAAAGCATATGGAAGAAACTTTCTTCTAACAAAGGTATCCAAAGTATACACTGGGAAAAAAATTATATGAGCTAGGGTTTGAAATGAGGAGTCTGCAAAGCCTGGGCTGGGCCATCCTGCTTCTATTGTAATGAATTCTGTGGTATGAAACTAAGCATAAGCTTTCCGGCTGTGTGGAGTTCTAAAAGGAACTACCTCTGTCAGGCAGGGCCTATCTTTCCCAAGATGTTCAGATTTATTTTTTTTAACATCACACCACTTTTCCATTTTTGAAAAACTGTGTGAAGATACTTCAGATTTGCATAATAGTATGTAGTATCTCTTTTCCCTAGGCATCAGTATTTGGAAGAACTGCTGAGAAAAAGGCTGTGTGGGGAACTTGTCATGGAATACTGAAAAACGAGGTTAGTTTGGGTATCGCATGTTATAACAACTTAATTGTCGTGCATGCAGAGATTTCACGAGGATTAAGGCACGCATGTTACAGAACAAATAATATTCTGTGTGGCAGAAATGTTGTGTAGGAGAAATAGGATAAAAACCTTCAAAAATTGCTTTTCATGAAGTTCAGCATTAAAATACTTCTTTTCACACCATTATCAACCTTGTTCCCTAGTACATCATCATTTCACCTCTTCTAGTTTTTAGTAAATAGTTTCAGTTAAGCACCTTGATTTTGAACACAGAATTCTGGGTGTACAAATAACAAATTCACTGCAGAAGAGCTTTTCCACCATAATTAGAATACCATTCATAAGAAAGCATACTTTTATGGTCATGTGAGTGTGACCGTTCTTACCTTTGTTAGAATTCCATCTTCTCGGTGGTTCTTCTGTAGGACGTGCTGAAGTGCTAGCTGAATCTTCTGCTGGAGTTTTTCAATTTTTACTTTCTCCTGAAGCCATGAGCGATCTAAATATAAATGGAGTTAACACCTCTAGTACTACACACATCAATCACACTGTACCAGGAAGTACTATGTCTGCTACAGATTCATCTTTCTTTGCCACTTTCCTTCCCCTTCTTATATACTCTCATACAGAAAATGAGTTTCAAAATTATTATGTGCATTTAAAATTATTTTTATAAAGCCCTTAATTAGAAGAATGCAGTGTATCTGAATAAGATGTATTAATCATTTGCTCACAAGGTCTGTAGAATGCAGGGTATTTACAAATTGAAGCGAGCAACTTTTTAGTGGGAATGAATTGATCACATAATGAACAAATAATTGGAGTGGATCTTCTTGCTAAGATCTACAGTGACATACAGAAAAATCAGAAGCAATTATTCAGCTACTAAAACAAAAGCGCTCCTAAACTTCCCAGCAGAAAAGTAGTATTAGCTGCTACATCCTCTGTGTGGCAGAACTGTGGGATTCTGTGACTTACATACTAAGACACAGGGCTAACATACTTCCCATCTGGCAAACAGCATGAGAATGTATTTATGATAGTCTCAGTAAACCCAGTGTTGCTAACAGACTCTTCCACCACCAATCCTGAGTCCACTATGCTGCAGTCTAAAAACAGAGTGTTTATTTCCTTGGGTGTTATGCCAGACACAAACTGACTTTCTGCACCAGTATCTTGTTTCACTCGACCTAATAAGCCTTCCCAGACCTTGGAATACAGTGGCTATCTACTTGAGATTATTAGGTTATTTTAGTCATGGGTATGGTAGACCCAGGCTGACTCTTGGGGTGACTTGTATGTCTGGCACCATAATTCTCAGTATACCCAGTTTCACGATGGGGACAGATACCTAAGTTACCTCGCTACCTTTGTACCACACTAAAATGGCAACCCTGCTTCCCAGACTGGAGGTGACACTGGAAACATTCTGTCATGTGCCTGAGATAATTCTGCTCTAGCTGCAAGCTCACATACATTGAAAGCTGACTATGTAACTTCAGTGACTACCTCCTGCCCATCTCACCTAGATTGACCCAGTGGTCTGACCCACAGGCACTTACACTTTAGAAAGGAGCTGAGTCTCCAACAAGGTGAAAATTGGGAAGATAAGGGCTTAGATTAGGATTTCCAATTTACAAAATTTATTCCTAAAGTCATAGTTTCAATGTATTAAAATAGAAATTCTAGCCAAGGAGGAGACACTCAAAAAGATGATGACATTTCACACTGTCCAATAGTCTTAACATCATCATTAATAAGACTTCAAAAGAAAAATGACCTCTATCAAATAAACCTAGAGCAAACCTTTATTTCTTACCTGCCGACATTAAAACAAACGCAGAAAACAAAGCTATCTCATCTTCTGTCAGGTGCATAGAACATAAACTTTTTCCAAATTCAAACACAAAACTAATGAAGTCTTCACAACCTGCCAAAAAGAAGGTACAGCTCATGACATGTTGTTTAAAACTACTTCATAGCTACAGAGTTGTTTTTTTCTGATGGAGGTGAAAAATGGATGTGCAGTACTTCATAGGTGAATGGTCCTCTCCCTAAAGACTGTGGAGTGATGGTAGTGAGATGTCACTCATGCTTGAGCTTATTGCCCTCTGCACGAGTCCCCAGCTCGCACAGCCTGGCAGCCAGTAGTTTGAAGGTTTTGCACACTCTCTCTTTTTCACATTTGGTTCCTTTAGGGTAAGTATGGGTAAAACCCAAGCCATTTTCAAGCTCAAAACCGATTGAGCTTTGTTTCTGTTCTAAATGGAACTTTCTCATGTCACTGTGGACTGGAGGTTCAAAATGTGTACTTGAAAAGTGCTAATTTTAAGACTATTGAGCACAGAGAAGAGGCAGGGGAAGAGAGGCATACAAGGTACATGCAGGAGCGAAGGGAGAAGCCAAGGTCTGAAAGCTTTTCATGCAGAAAAGGAACGCTGTCTCCTTTCATCCATTCTCTTGCTCATACAGGTGTAAGTCAGGTTACTGCTGCTGTTACACATGCTGTTACGCAGTTTGCGGAAGTGGAGCACTACTTTGAAGGGGATTGCAACCTGATGGAAGAGGGCTCTCCTCTGCAGATCTCAGCCCCAACCCAGCTTATATTTCTGGATAGGGTTGGTAACAGAGGAAAGTTCTGTTTCATTGGAACCCACATCTCATACTGCATTCTCTGAATTGTTCGCACTCAGACGTTGTACCTTGAGGTGTTTTAGGAAGGCAGAGAATACTTGAGTAACTGTACAGCATTCTCTGCTGCCGTACTTTCACTGCCCTCCAAAATGGCTTACATCCCAAATCTATACTCAGTGAAATGCATCCTTTTAAAATTAGCAAAAATATACAGGAAAAAAATCAAAGTTATAAACTATGGTTTAATTAAAAAATTGATTTACAGTATTTTACCCGCAAATAACTGGATTTTGCCTATCACAATACATCTTCAAAGCAGTAATGTCTGTGTATCCAAAGTTAGCTTAAAATCTGCCTCCTTTTCCAACAAGATCTATACAATGTTAACACTAGATATGAAATCTGGGCTTCTGTTCTCAACAGGTGTGTCCAAACTGCTCTATCCTGATCTAAGTGTTGAATTTCAACACCAACAGTCCTTTACTGCATAGACTTAAGCTGTTTTAACTCCTGAAATCAGCTTGGCCTCAAACAGAGCCAGTATGACTGTACAAAATAAGCAGTTTGAGCTTTGGAACTCTCATGTGAATACTATAGCCTGAATTTTTCAAACCAGCTGTCCCCTAGCTTTTCCACCTTAGTATTACTTTTTTTATTTAAGATACAACACTTGATATTTCCTTACCTAAGGACTTGAAAACCTCTGGGCTAGCATACTTGCCATCAAAGTAGACTGTGTTGTTCTGGGAGTCAAAGGCACGGCACATTCTGATGAACACAACCTCTAAAGACCCTAAAACAGAAACAATGTATGTTTGACTATTTAAGTAGAGACTTCAGTTGCGAAGAGCAAGTAAGGATTTTAAAACTTCCTATGCTCTGCACTGAGTATGGATCAAGTAGGGTAGTAGGTTTCGGTGTTATAACAGAGCACAGTTTGATTCGCTAGTAGAATTGAAAGAATTCACATAAACCCCTTTAGAAGTTTTTTACCAAAGCAACTTAGTTAATGCTAATTAATCATTTTTATTAGAATAATGAAGTCTCTGAAGTCAAAGCAGCTCATTTAGATTTATGTTCACAAAGCTTTGACTACTTCATGCAGTATTTGTAAACTGCATTACTTCTACAACATCTTGCATAGAACAATCTGGATTTTTACCTTGAAATATGTTATTCGCTATTAGTCAGCCAAAATCAATTTGAATCCAACTTTGCCATTTTTACACACTCATTGCTCCCTTGCTCATAATGAAAATTTCCTGTGTAGACTTGAACTCGTTCTGTCCAGAGTAACTAAGAAGACATGTTACTTCAGACAGACACGGACAACTTGTAAGGTTTTCCCCTTGCGTTATTTTAAATGATCATTGTACAACATGTATATATGTGTATATAATCACTGGATATGGTTAACACCTTCCTCAGTCAAAACTAATAGAAGCAGACCTTAAAACTGACCCACATACCTGCTTTTAAAAGCACAATTTGATCGTTTTGACACAGTTCCATAAAGCCATCAATGCGTTTGGCAAATTCCACTACATACTGTATAGCTTCTGTTATTTTGACTGCGCATAACTGCCACATTACCTCTCTTTGCTGTTTGAGAGAGAAGAGAAGTTGAAAAATTACTAGTCAAGGTTTGGAAAGCCCATTTTCATAAAGCAAAACTGAGTTGGGGAAAAAAAAAAAAAAAGTGAATTCTCTCCAGCACTCAGGCTACCGTCTGCTTGTAAGACAAGGGGAATTACCCTCAAAGCCAAAGCCTCGTGTGGATGAGTGACAATGCAAACATGTGAGACTTTTCAGTGATGTCAGAGGAGATACAGGTTAGAGTATTTGGATTTCATAAGCCAAAAATATGAAAATATAATGATTCTGGTCATTTCAGTGGGAATTTTATTTGCTGCATCAAAAGAAAATGCCACTCTACACAAGCAGTGCATGATCACATTTTTCCTATCAACGTCTGTATTTTGTACTGAACGTAAACGAATCTGACTAGCTTGTCTTCATAAAGACACGTATACAGATATACATATATGAAGATCATCTTGTTAGCAACATAAAAAAAGCATGCAAGTGTAGATTTTTTCATATGTTGACAACAATTCAGAATGAAATTACCTAACAAGTGGAAAAAATTATATTCTTAAAGGTTAAATATTTTTTTTTTTTTGTGGAAATGAAAAATATGTTCCAAGAACAGTGTGCTTTAATAGTACTTCCCCGGACAGTTTTCCCACAGTAGCCATTTGGCAGTAGTTTGTGGATGGAAGGCATGTTGGAAACACAAACATGGATTAAATCGCAGAGTACTGGGTGGCGTTACGGCAGCGCTGTGCTGCTGTTCTATAGGTGACACTGAAACACCGAGTGACAACTGTAGGATGAATCAGGACTACAACCAGGCACTGAAGGCTGGAAATCTCACAGCTTTCTGTGTTTGTAAACTCAAAATAAAACACACCGTGTAAAATGACAGAACCTGGTGGTTTCAGCTTTTGTTGTTGTTGATCCAGGAGATTACAAATTAAAAAGTGAAAAGAACATGCCATATAGGATTAGAAAAGTTTCTCTGGTTTCTTGTTTATCAATCCCAGTGAGATTTGAGGGGTATGGCTTTGCCTTTTCCTGTACCTGTAAAAATCACAAATGCAAAGGATATCCTAACCATCTTGCTGCTTCTGATTCTAGTGTATTATTTTTTTGAAAACACACAAAAACATACGTTCCCGATAGTAAACAGAAAGCAGTGAAAAAGTGAATTTTGCAGTGTGTTATAGAAATACCATGCTTTAAAAAAAGCATGCCATGGATTGGCATGTTTTTATACCTTGTTCTGATAGTTCTCAATTTCTTCCTGCAGAAAAGTCTGCCATGTTATCTGCTGTAACTCCTCTCTCAAGTACTGGCAAGTTTCCATGTGCGACTTGGAAATATTCTGTGCAAGATGTTCTAAAGGAAAGACCAGAAAGCGACACGCGTTAGGAATGCAGGGCCGCGCCGGCAGACACGACCCGGCTGCCATGTTGCCGCTGCGGCGGGGCGGGCCGAGGGGGAGCAGGTAGGGACGATCTGCTTTGGTTTCCCATCTCCTCGGGCTCTGCCCCTGGCGACGCGGCCGTTCCGCGCCCGCGCGGCCGTTCCGCGGGGCGAGCAGCGGCCGCGGCCCGCGCCCGCTAGGGGGCGCTCCGTGCGCGCGCCCCGGCCCGGCCGCGCTCCCGCCGCCGCCCTCGGCGAGGTAAAGGCGGCCCGGAAAGCGGGGCTGGCAGCGCCGCGGTGGAGTAGAAGCCACAGAAAGCAATCCGGATGGGCGAGGGGGCGGCCCCCTCACGTGGGGGCAGGGGCGGCCCCGTGGGGACTCTGCCCCGCTGAGCGCAGGACACTCGCGCCACGTCCAGGGAGCGTAACAGCACTGCCAGCCAAAGCTGGGCCCGGTTGTGTTTTATACAGCAGAAGCTTTCTAATAAAGAAATGCGGGTAGTTAGCACCTCTTCAGTGTTCTGTCAAGCAGGACACTATCACTTGAGGCTGCCTGTGAGGGAAAAATGTCTTCTCTACTCTTGTATCATTAAAAAAAACCTAGGAAAATACACTTCTTAGAGAATCCAGACAATTAATACAGCATGCTGAAGACTCAGGGGTTTTTACTTCAGCTTTATAATAGTTCCTTAGTTAACTAAACATGATTTAAAATTTCCATACAACATTTTAATTCCAAATAAACCATTTTCTGCTGCTATACTTGGTTAAAAGACCCATACAGCAGATTTATATTTATTAATAAAACTTGATTCCATAAGCCTTTAGGAACACCTTCAAAAGCATGAATAGCGTTTAGACATCTGAATTCCACTTCTACTTTATCTTTCTCTTTTCTGCCCTGACTCTTTGCACATGTCTGTTCTCCTGTTTTAGCGCGTGACAAGTAGAGGCCTGGTGACTTGTCTCACATAATTCTGCAGTTGGTGCTTTTGCGGGTTAGGCCACTGAAAAGGAAGGCTTAGAATAAACAAGAACAGTGGTCAGTAACAACACTGGGGTACTCTTAGGGACTCGAGCATTAGGTTTTCTGTGAAACTGGCCTTGTTGGGTAACGACCAAACCCAGCTTCTTACAAAGTGAACTGCTGGACCAATCAGTCTGGTTTAGTATCATACTGCATTAATAGTTTGATGTAAGATACTACCTGAAAAGTCTTTTACATCCAGCTGAGGAAAATCAGATCCTATGTGCTACTGGAGCAATCAGTACTGTAGTACATGAGGTAGTTCATACTTTGGTTGTCACCATAGCTTTCCTGTATTTCAGAGCAATTTTTTTTTTTCTTACAAGTCTGTACTTAAAACATTGGCTCTCACTAGCAGCAACTGCCAGCACTGTACCTGTGCCCTTGCAGGACACAGAAGGTGAAGTATTACCATGTTATTCACAAACCTCGGCCTCAGTTCTGGACTGTATTTCAGCACACACCTACATACTTTCATTGAACAGCCACACCTTTCCAAATTGAAACCTTAGTCTGGAAGACAAACATTCTTCAAACATTGTTTGGTAACGTCAGCGTTGGGCACCCAAATCATGCTCTGTAAGGTTTACATGCAAGCACTAAGTAAATAAAGGCAAGCAACATGACAAACTTACTTTAGGCCACTGTTCCAAACTCAGTACTTGGCCTAGAAATGAAAAGCCCTTTCTCTTTTCTCTGTGGGTTTAATATAGATATTTTAATAACTCCTGAGAATATTAACAACTAATTGACCGAGACAAAGCTGGTAGCATAGCCTTTATCCTAATTTTTATTTCTCATTTTTACTTATCTGTAACTGAAGTTATCTGAACTCAAGCCAGACACAGTATTTTGGCTGTCACAACAAATTACATTGCAGAGAACTGCATTCCGCAACATAAGGATATTGAAAAGTACGCCTTCTCGTCCCTTCATCTCTGCAAAATATCTCAAAAGAACATAAACTAAAGCAAAATTTCATATCATATGCTTGCCTCTAATTAAAAAAAGTTAGCAAAAAGAGAAAAATGTAACTTGCAACACCTGATTTTTCAAACTACTTTTAGGTTTTCATAATGGAATAATTAGCAAAAATGTTGCTTAAGCAAGCAAAATCAATTTTAAATGCCTGACTGCTTATATAAGTAATAGAAATCTTAAAGCCACTTCTCTAATGCCCTGTTCCAGTTTGTTTATAACCAGTTCATGTGGCACGCTCTAACTCGAGTCTTAGATGTTGACAAGTCATAGTTGTGGAATTCAGCCCTAGTGTAATCATGCTGGGAAGAGTTTAAAGTAAAAGGTGCTAATTAATGTGGTCATTATAAGGCTCTTAGGGAAATTATCAAAACTTGCTACATTCAAAGATTGTAAGTATCTGAGGTCAGATTCTCTTCAGTCAGTGGCAAGGAGAACTGCCCTCAGATCAGACTGCACTTTGGTTTCATAATTCTCAGGGACAGGTAAAGAACAGAAGAAAATCAGCCTCGTCACTTCTTATTAGAAAACAAAGTACTGAGGTGACGAAAAACAAGAGAAAATGTTCAGAAATAATCTGCAAATAAAGAAATACTCTGTCTGTTTGCACAGCACTGAAAATGAGCTTGTTAATCAGTATTCAAGAGGGTTCTATTACAAGGACTGAAAATAAGAGCAACACTACTAGAGCTGATCAACCCCAGGCTCCTGGGATTTTTCATCCAGGTCTGTAAGCGTTCACCACGTACCCCGATTAGGGTACGGTGCGCTTCACAGAAGAATGCCCATACACGCTCACGGCTGGACTGAAGCAGCGCTCTTGCTATCACCTGGCTATACGTGTCACTTTAATCCAAAGGGTACTATTAAGACAATTACAATGGAAGCTTTTCTCTCTCATTACCTAATTCTGCCATGGACACAGTTGGAGAGGTCTCCCCATTTGTAAAAGAACAATAAGGGAAGAAGCCCGATGCTGGTGTGTAGTCACATATTGGTTCTGGTTTGATTCCATTAATATCAAGACCCGACTGATCTGGAGAAGGCTGTATGTCTAAGTAGAAGCTGCTAACTGCAGAGTCTGCTTTGCTACCTTCAGGGGTATGCCCATCAATGTAATTACTGAGGTCATCATGTAGCTCTGTTAACCCATTGGTGGTGATATTGTATGTTGGTGTTAGTGGTTCTGCCTCTCCTGGTTGCTGCTGATGATCTCGCTGCTGCTGCTGCATTCGATGCTTCTGCACCTCCGCGTACAGGCTGTCCCGCTGCTTCTTTGACATTCGACCAAACTTTACAGCTGAAATACAGACACACAATATATTACATTTCTACAAATCCACTACTGCATTTTAACTGTCTTGGGTCTTTAAACACTACATGGAAGGACAGAGTATAAAGGGCAAATCAGCAGGATGGGCCGACCTAAGAATCACTTCTGTCAGCTACAGGTAAGGGAGCTGCAGCATCTACTTTTCAGAAGACCATCCTAACATGCTACTTAAATGGACCATTAGACGTCACTGTTTTAGCTTAATTAATGAACTTTCCACTGCTATACCAAAAAGATTTTTTCTTACATGTCCATCGAAGTTGACAGATGCCTCTTCAGCATTCAAATCCTACCTAGAAAAGTAGAAGCTGAAACAGAATACCCCGGCCTGAGATGAACTGTCCAATTCCTCCTGGCTGTATATTCATGCTAAGTGAACCTAGAGAGGTATAAACAGGTGGGGTCTATCTCAAAGAGTATCAAAAGCAAGCTTTATTGATACTAGGACTGAAGCACATGAGAACCACCACAGAACCTGCTTTCAGTGCAGCTTACTGTGACAAGCAAAAATGTTTACTTGGAGAATAGTTGTTAACTGTATGTGTGTGTGCGCGCTTATATTTCTCTCCACAAAATTATTGCTACTTTGGGAAATATTAATACTGAGCATAAGCTGGAAGCAACTGGTTTGCAACATCCAGTGAATTCCTAAGAAAATACTATGTGATTTCTGGGACCTGCATCAGCTGTAAAAGCCTCATTCTTCAGGAAGGTGGCTACCACCTTGCACTTTTCTACAGGAAAGCAAACATGTCAGAGAGACTAGTCATTACACGATCGGCCGTTACAGGTTCCTAGTTTCATGCCCAATAATAAAATTAAGACAAGGTAATTCAAGAAGTCAGTGTAATCTGAAAACAATCTCCTTAATTGGGCCTCATGTACATAGAGTAATGCATATGTATTTGTAGAACATGTAGCGTTGCTGTCACTATGGCAGGGAAAAAGACTGAATCAGATCTTCAAATTGGGTAAGTGATGGCAGCTTTGTTACATCTACGGGGGAGGTGTGCAAGTATCAGCTGCAAATCCAGTTCTAATTGAGTTACATAAGCTTCCATTTAACAGAGGTGGGTTTTCGTCATTACACTAGGTGCAATTTTGAGCTTAATATTAACAGCACTGGAACACATTTTCTTCAGAATTCTGCCACTGAAAAAACACTGCTATTTTCTCTTTGCAATTTTTTCCCTTATTCATTATACACACGTTTAAACTTCTCTCTATATTGTAACACTCCTGATCTGTACCAATATAGCAATCAGAGTGTTATTTGCAACTATAGTGTGTCGCTTAAATTGGGATGAACACAAAAAGTTAATAACATTAGACTAAAAACTGCATCTTCAAGAAGTCACCAGAGACAAAACTCCTAACTGGGAACTATAAGAGATAAATAGGAAAAATAATAAATCCAGGAACTTTGTATATGACCTAATTTACAAATATGTGAATTTATAGCAACATATAAAAACTACTTGATGATCTCAACTATCGGCCTGATGCACAATTAACTATTGCATCCTATGTTGTTTTAGTTGAACTTGCAGCAAGTATACAAAACATTATTTTAGTTTTTGCAATTCAGCTGTGTGTTAGCAGAGCTCACCATCTCGAGACATCCCCACCGCAAGGCATTTCTGTAATCGACAGTGTTGGCAGCGGTTTCTGCTAGTACGGTCAATCAAACAGTTCTTCTGACGAGGACAGGAGTACGTAGCGTTGCTTTGCTGACTCCTTCTGAAAAAGCCCTGTAATAGAATTGCAAAATACAAGTCAAGAAGCTGTTAATGGATGGAAATAAAGACTCTGAAAGGTAGCATACCTTACAGAAAATGAGGTTCAACTGCAATATAGTCAACTAAAGGAAGTGAAGAGGGGTTTGTTTTGTTCTCTCCTAGAAACAAACGAAAACCAGTAACTAGTAGGAAACGGTTCATAAGAAAGCATTATGACACAGAAAGGAATTACACATTTTTTCACTGGTTTTACAGATCCCATATTACATATGGTACACCAGTTCTTTCCAAATGAGATAAAACTAGTTATAGACCTAGTTTTCCTTGATCTTCTATCTTTCTTGGGGCAGCACAGATCTCCAAAATAGGAAGGATTCAACAGCTGCTACCCTGTTCTGCTCTTTGCAGATGACAATGGCAGGCTCTGATGTTCAGCCTCACCAATGTATGTATGTGATTAACAATACAGAGCATGATGCTGAGGAGTTCCTTCTAAAAAGAACAATTTATTTTAAAGTTCTTAATTAGTTTGATGCTGACAGCAGAGGTTTTGTTGAACTCAGCACAGAATTTAGATTTTTAAGGAGAGGGGGAAGCTGAAACAGGTTTTATGTATTATCTCTTTTCTGACTCAACTGCAGTGGGCAGACACATCTCCCAAGAAAGTCAGTGTTGAAGGTTACGCAGTAGTTACGGCCTGGTTCTCTCCATCAGAATGGTGCATGTTATTAACCACTATGCCAGCTGTTTGCTTTGAAGTTCATTTCATCTTTTTGCCACAGACTGTCCAAATATAAGCTGGTGTGTGTGTAATACCTACTTCACAAGGATTCTGCGAAGATGTAGTCATTCTAAAGAGGCATTTGGGATCAGTGAGCACAGTAGTTTAGTTTTATGTTGCCACATAATGGATTAATTAACAGTGATGCAAAGAAAATACTTCCTCAGAAAGGCTGGGCACCTTTTAATTAAAGCTGGACTTTAACCAATTTTTTATTTATTCGAAGGCCACATTCTGGAGTCCCTTGGCACATGCCCACTCCTCTGTCCAGACACTTGGTGAAATAAACAACAGGAAGGACTTCTGCAGGACAAGGAAGAAACGTCCTAGCAGACTTCCTGCAGACAGAAACATGAGAGAACACCGAGATAAAGCCCACCGCTCCATCTTCTGAGGGCACCAGTCTTCATTGATTATACCCCTTTTATTAAAGCTTTAATGGGAAAACATGGAATATATAAAAAAAAGAGGAAACTGAAGATGCTTGTCTTTAATCTTGTTTTCCCATACATTGTTTCTCAGCCATTTATTCTGGTTTGTTTCCATACCATTGAACTTTCAACTGTTTTTTAATGTTTGTCAACAGTGAGATGATTGTTGCTGAGACTAAAAGTACTGCACCTATTGAGTTCTGATCCAAGTGTGTTTCACCCTGAAGAACACCTGAAATACCATGGAAGTTTCTACCAGTCCAACATCGTGACCAATCCTTCTGAAGGAACCAACCCTTCGGTAAGTAGATCGCTTAATTTCCAGTTCTCTCAGCACCCTTGGTGCAGCCTGTCACTCCAGTGCAAGGACACACACAAGTGCAGTGCGCTTCACTAAAAAAACAGGGTTGGGTATGGACCTGACCACCGACTGACTGGTCAAGCGCTCTCCATCTCCGCATTATCAGTCCCCTAAAATTTCAGTTCTCCAAACACTGTAACCGTGGCACTGAATGGCATACTCACGTATGAACTGCATGAAATCTGTCACTTAGATCCTGAAAGTTGGCTTTATCAGTATGTAAAATGAGCCTGGCCCAATAACCTCAAAGATCTATACATTTTCCTTTATCTGAGATGTATACTGAGCCTTTATTGCCATTTTGGCATATTTATTAAGAATAGTCTTGTCAAGCTGAGGATTATTTTTAGTATTATAACGGAGAAAATACTGGGCTTTTTGCTTTTCCAGATTTACCCTAGAGACACAGCTGCTCAATACATTTTAGTGTACAATGTATCAGCTAAGTTACAGCTTGAAGCTGAATTTTCAATAGAGCAGAACTGCCTGAAATGGGGGCCTTTAAAAGCACTTGCACTTTACAAACCAGTGATGTAGTAGAGTGCTTTTAAAACCAAACCCTACAATGTTATGGGGGCATACTGAAAACATCAGCAGTAGATAAAGCAAAACAACCCCTTGCCTCAGACTTCAGAAATTAATCTAAACTTGTCCAGAGCTCAGAAATACACATATCTGAGATCTGGGATTGAATTGACAGTGAAGTTAAACTGAGGATTTTTTACTGTCAAAGATCTTCTATATTTTTGTCATTTATTGGTGAGTTTTCTAACCTTTTGGTGGTTCTTGGGCTCTCATATCATTATAAGACACATAGGGAAGCCTCTATGACAGGAGCCTCCTGTAAGTAAATGTAGTTTCTTCCGAAGTTGGTTTCCCCCCGCCTTCATTAGAAGAAGAGAAGGAGAGATGCTGTATTCTGTTGTTTTGTTTCCTCACTTTTGCCAGAGGCAGAGAGCTAGCTATAATTTTTCCACCAGGAAGGAGGAGGTGGATGCATGCATGGTACACGTGTATACATTCAGGCATTATGCAAACCAGCCCAGGCCCCATGCTTTTAATTGCACGCACGTTCACAACCCTTCTTTCACATTCAGACGATTGCCTAATGGGCCACAGGCGGAGTGGACCCCTCTCACGAACAAAACCACTGCTGCACTCAAAAAGTCACGGCGTTACACTGCTCCGACCGACGGCACGGTCTGAGCCAAGGTCTCTGGCAGGGAGTGTGATGTCAGTATTAAAGATCCAGCTGATTTTGATGAGGCGTCACTGAGCTTTGCATGTCTCCCTTTTTATGTAGATGTATTAACACAGTGCCAGAAGAAGAGCAGAGCAGATTACAAGCCATAGCTTCATCTCTGCATTTCAGACTCCTATTTATATACAGCACAATATATGGGTTTTCATATGCTGCCAAGAAATCAAGTTTGGGAAAAAAGGGCGCAAGAACTTTTAATCTGCAAGTCAGTTTGAATAACAACTTGTTAAAAAAGAACTTTGAAATGTAAATAGCAGTTTTTGCGAAGTCTATTAATAGTTTCAGTAACTCCAGTGCTCAGTATTACAGCCATGGGTGTCTAAGCTTGTTCCTGAGCAGGGAAAAAGCCAGTTGCACCTCCCTGACGATCCAACCGGCACAGCACAGACTCCCTCTTCACTGCGGCACAGGCTGAAATGCTGATCTCATGTTTGGTCTTTTGACAAATTTTCATTTAATGAATTGATTCCTACAGTTCATTAACATACCCACTTCCACTTCTGTATACACATATGTCTTAATTAGCTGCTCATTGGCTGTTTAATTACAAGAAAACAGCTGACAGCTGCCTTGCTGCATCCTAATGGCAGACGTTTTGGAATGACTGTATGCAAGCCTGTGACAACAAAGGCTTATTCATAATCCCATGATTTATGGCTAATACTTAAAGACTTCCATGGATCATTAAGTTTTGCAATATTCTGAGCAATTAACAATTAGTTGGGGGGTTCATTCTTTTACTGTCTTCTAAAGCAAACTCGCAAATTTTCTTCAAAATAACATCAGAAAAATACACCATCCTATGAAAGACAGGTGAACATTCAAAGTGGATTTTTAACCCTTTGAAGACACTCAGCACATAGTATAGTTGTAAAGGGAGGAAAGTCCTGCAACAGTATTGTTTAAGAACCTTTGTTAATAAACTATTTGATAACCAAGTTATACTGCTACTGAAAACAGAGAAAAAAATGATCAGTTTTACCTATGTAATAAACACAGGAATGAGATTGTGTTGATCAGGTTTGTATACGAGGCTTTTGATTAGCCCTTTCTGTAACATGGCTCATCATTTTCTAACGTGTTTTGCTTGAAATTGGCTATGCAAAACAGTAAAAAAAGAAAAACTTCAAAAGCATGAATTCGAGGTAAATGTTTGCAATGCCAATATGACATTCCACATTCAAAAGAGAAAAGAAAAACTGGCTAGTAAGGAAAGTGAATGAATGAAACTAATGAACAAAAGAAATACAAGATAGGAAGTGACCATACATCAGGTATTGTTTTCTGAAATAACACGGACATTCCTTGTAGTTACAGTGAACAAGACCATCTTAGGTCTTCAAAGACACAAGAGACAAAAGCCAGTACCTATGAAGCTTTGAAAACGTGTGAAATGCCTGGAAATGTCCTGTGTGGATTGTTTTACGAGACCAACTGTGTACAGTCAGGTAAAGAGAGGGATCACACAAATGTGTTTGTGGGTCAGCTGGGCATGAACTGACACTGTTGACAGCAAAAGCAAGTAACTGCATCTGCAAATTAAAAGACATAGTTTGTTAACAAAAACTTCACTGCAAACTAAATGCTCTTTTATGTCCTTTTGAAGCATTCGGGTGTTTTCTGACAACGCTGAACTGGATTCAGCTTTCAGCTCTGAGAAGAGAATATGGATGTGTACACAAGGCAGCCTCCTCTCTCAGCACGGTCCCTAGTATAGAGCAAAAGGTTGTTAACTGGTTCCCACAATGGACGCTTGAGGAAGTGCTCCATCCAGATAATAGTTTTTTCAGTTGTGCTACTACAGTAGTAGTATTTCCAGTCTTACACAGGGCAACAAACTTTTATTTCTGAGTGGTGGTACAGTCTTCGTGTCATTCTTCATCCGTGCTTCTGAGTAGATGTCTTAAGATGACTACTCTTATCTTCCCTTTTCCCCCATTATATGTTGTACACTGGGCATCAGCAATGGTCAGATATAAAAAACCCCTCTCTTTCAAAATTGATTTTGTTTATAATAAGCCACAGGAGCCCTCCTAGATAAAGTATAAAACAGAGCCTGGCTAAAAACTTCATTTTTTTCACCATAGGGGGAGAAAGAAGATGGGGTGTTAAATTTCATTTTTTAAAGGCAGATTCAAATTCACATAAATAGGTTGGTGAGTTGGGAGTACTCAGTGATGTTTGTGCAAAACGCAGCCACTAACTTCATAAAAACAGCCAGTAACATCACAGCAAGGTAGGAAATGAAAACTTCTCAGGAAGCACTATTTGGCTTTGTTACAAATCTTCAATTCTAGTTATGTGAAACACGATATAACAACAAAAACTGGCCACAAAACTTTTAATTATGTGAAGTGCAAGGGTCACAAACCTGTAGAAGAGCAACAGGATCAGTGAAAGTCAATTTGACAAAAGCTTTTCTGATTTCATACATGACACAGATTAGGACTGCAAAGTTGGTCTTTACAACTAAAAATTCACTTTATGTTTTAAATAAATTCTATTTCTGGTGGTTATTAGTATTTACACAGTAACACTTCCGTTAACATTACAATTAAATAACATTAAAGTTCACACTGAACTGGAATGAAAACCAGTAAGAGGTGGAAGCATCCGTCTCTGCTGCTGCTGCTGCAGCTCCCTGCTGGCAGCCCAGCCTGCGAGGGTAGCGGCACAGCCGTGCCCTCCCGCTGCCGGTGGCCCCGCTCCTGTGCTCTGAGACGTGCGGAGGGGCTGGCGCCACCTGTGCAGAACCCCACTGACTTCTCTGGGAACGTCCGCTGGTGCAGGACGTCGGCTCCGGGAATCGGAGTGCAGGACTGGGAACTAGGTCTTCATAGCAAAGCACTTTTACAAAGGAAGGTTTAGCATAACATGGAGAGCAATGTAAGCATGCTCCAACCTGCAGAGATCATAGCCACAGAAAAGCTGGGGGAAAAAACATACTAACACACACCTGGCTCACTTGGCAGAAGCTGAGCTATGCCAACTTTTTCACCAGCCAAAATAGTTCTGTTGGGTGAGACTTTGTTGACATTACCGTGGAAGAGCGTAGCACAAACACAACCCATCTGCTACAGCAGGGCATTTCAAATGCTGCCTACCTCACTGCCGTGGTTTAAACCTGCCCAGCAGCCAAACGCCCCGCAGCCGCTCGCTCACCCTCCCCACCCCCCCTAGAACGTGGGGGAGAAAGTTGGCAGGGTAAGGAGACTCGTAGGTTGAGATAAAAACAATTTAATAATTGAAATAAAATAAAATAAAAATAATGATAATAATAATAATTATAATAGAAAATACAAACGGGTAACGCACAGAGGTGTGATTGCTCACCATCCACGGACCGACACCCAGCCCATTCCCAGCTAGTGATCCCAGAGAAGCAAGAATCCTGAAACCACTATCCCAGAAACCCAAGTGGAGCTTCCCGATCCACCCTTACCTATATACTGAGCATGACGTTAGGTGATAGGGAATATTCTATTGGCCAGTTTGGGTCTGTTGTTTTTGCTGTGCTCCCTCCCAGCTTCCTGTGTACCTGCACACTAGCAGGACATGAGTTGAAAAGTCCTTGATTTCTTAGTGACAATAAAAACATTAGTACATTATCAACATTCTTCTCATATCGATCCCATACTGAATCCAAAACACAGCACTATTCTAGCTACTACAAAGGAAGAAAAAAAAATCCTAATTAGCTCTATCCCAGCCGAAACCAGGACAGTCATGATCATTTAAACTCTTCCCGTGCCTTGTGCCCACTAGCACTCCCCTATCTCTCACTACTTGCAGATTGTCTGGGCTCTGGCGCTAAAGAAGGGTGAGCTTCAGAGTTATCCCCCTCCTGAAAGGGAAATAACTTAGTTAACTAAGCTGATATTAATTGGCTTTAAAATACTGCCTGAAATTGTATGGCTAGAAAACTTTGTTCTGCTACTCCAAGAGAAGGAGAAAATGCCTAACTTAATTCATGGGGCCACTGTCTGTCTTATTAATGCACACTCTGCTTTCAAGGTTCAAATGGGTTTCAGTGTGCTGAGCGTATTTACCTGCTTGCCTTCCCTTCTGCCCCTTCCCGCCAGCTGACCATCCTGGTGGGATTCTCAGAAGCAGACCAAGGATTGCACAGAGCTCACAGAGAACTCGATTTATACAGAAATCGAAGGAAAATAGCGTGTTCTAAAATGTAAGGAACCTCACACCCGTTCCTCATTCTGACCGCTGGAGGTACACAAAGGACTTTCCTCCTAATAACTCCCGTTTGCGTTTATTCCCGGGAAAGCACAGTCACCCTGACAGAGGAGTGCTCGGTGGGTGGCTCTGTGTCTTACCCACCCTGCTACGTGCCTACCGGCTGCGTGCTCACTGACGTGGCTGCAGGACGGTGTGCTGTTGCTTCCCGAGAAAGGCCTCTCCTGCACAGAGGAGCGTTGGCGCTACGCTAACCTCAGCCTGTGGACAACGATGTTCGTCATGGAGCGTGAGGCAGTCCCTCATCTACACGGGCCCCAGACCATTTAAGGATTAAAGAGGTCTCGGACCTTGAACATAACTTGATACTCTTTGACAAGATAGTCATACAGCAGAATTCTCACTGCAAACATCTGCCACTGTACACAGCTGAAATTTGATAAATGCAGCTCAGCCACATAAAGCTGGAAAAAGCAACCACTTTATTATCTATGTATTTTTAGTGTATTTCTTGCTTTTTACGTAGCAACAGCAGTTACAAAGGGCAGAAGGTGCTCTCCTATATCATTCTAACATTTTTACGTTTGTTGGTGTTTTAGGTTTTTTTTGTTTTTTTTTTTTCTCCTTCCTTCTTCCCAATACCTCCATGAGAGTGAGAGAATGTGTTAATGAAAACACACAATTCTTCATTGGAAAAAAACACAAAGGAAATCTCCACAGTGTGAAAGCAAGGAAATTACATTTTGAAGATGGGTGATAGAATCAAGCAGGTCAGGAGAACAGACTAAAAATTGTTATAAGTATAAATTCTTCACACCTAAAGTGTAGATTAACAGTAGAAAAATCTATCAGCGTGGGATTGCAACGCATACATACATGAAGACAGCAACAAGCCAGAGCATAGCTGTGCACCCCGTGTCATCCCAAGCTGGCACTGTAACTTTGTACTAGTGACAGAAAGGCGTGATGAGCTTCGCAGCACTCTGGCCTAGCGTTAGCGTTGTCCGAGTTAATTCTTGGTTGTGAGACACAAACTAAAACAAAACATAAATGCTTCTAGTGTAATCCTGGTTCAGTAGAGTTACTGAAGGTAAAAACCCAGGAAAAAATTCAAAGTCTAAACCTTCCACAGCAACGGTTGCACTGTAAGGAACAGGCACTGCTTCCAGGAAGACCCAAGTATGCTGAACACCAGTAGCACGTGCTATTTGTGCAACATCATCTTCCATGCCAAACAGAATAGATTTGTAACTATAGCAGATGACAGAAGACGACTGAGAAGTCGGAGAGCTCTCATGTATTTCAACACAGTTTCTTAGCAATTTACAAAGCAAAAATGGAGAGGGAGATTCAAGAAAGCCACAAACGCCCTTTCAAGTGAATCCACAGAACAGATTCTTTGTGGTACCCTAGAAGCGGATCATCTCCTGTACCTCTGCTGCTTATTGACCGAGAGACAGAATATGACGCACACAGCACGATTTTTGAAGCTTGTCCTGAAATCTGGGGCGGGGGGTGGGGTGGGGTGTCACAAAAATGCCCTATTTGAAACCCAAATAAAACCAGTACTGCTGAATCCCCAATTGATTTAATATCATTTGAAATTGAATCCACCAATCCAACTTCAGCACGATGCTTGCTCTTTAAAAAAGGAAGGAAAATAATCACTATCAAAAGGCTAAATGCTGTTTAAGACTTAATATTTTAGAAGCTTACCTTGCAGCCTTCACATGTAATGACACCATAATGGATTCCTGATGATTTGTCTCCACAGATCTTGCATGGAATAATTTCAATTTGAGCTGCAACAGAAGCACGCAACCAGTTAATTACATTTTCTTTTAAACACCTTATAAAAGCATTCCCTGATCAGCATTTGTACAGTGAAAACTAATAACCTGCTAAACATTATACTGCATTAACTATTCATTGCTGAACTGCAAGGGTCCCCTAGAGCTTTGGACTAAATTATGGCTGCTCGTTATATAATAGCTTTTGGGTTATTAAAATGGGTCATTTGAGAAGGTTTTTAAGAACCCACAAGAAGGCTAGAATCAGCATTTCAAAGCCAAAAAGAATAGGAGAGTTCACAGTTTGGCCAAAGAGCTAAGACAACACCAGAAAGGTTTCTTCCAATCTTACTCATGTGAGATTGTAAAAGGTAATTCTAAAGCTTGCCCTGCCTGAAGATGAATGCAACACCTTTAGCAGAGGTGTCACCATCATGCCATCCAGCTCACATGACTGGTCAACCCTAAAGAGAAGTAACAAGGTAAATAGCACCTGCATTTTACACAGAAAATCCAAAATTCAGGTATCTGAATTGAAAGTGAATTATCAGTACTTATTTGTATATTAGCCACCACAGAACAAACGAGGGAGCAAAATACAGTATTCTAGTCAACTTATGAAAGAAACGAATCGGCACAGTCTGGAAAATGCAATAGAGATACATGATAATGAACGCCCCAATTTTTAAAATTGAACTTCATACACCTAAAACATACCTACTGAATTCAGTTTAGTGTGTGACAAAACTCTCTGCATCTATCTCTAAATCACAGCACCTTCCTGTTTGAATCCATGGATTTAAGAAGGGACTCCTGTACGCTCAGGAACACGGTGTTTGGAGTGTATGGCTGCAATCATTTTGCTAGCAAGTCTTTTTGAATGGGACCATGCTGCGGCAGTGCTTCACAGTGTCAAAGAGCAGCAGTCCACATTTTACATATCCTTACATATGCTCACACAAACACAGACTACACATTAGGTAGAGAACCAAAAAATCCCAAGAAAGCACGTTCTCTGCCCCGATGGTGTTAGGATCAGGCTACATCAGTTTTCATGAACTGGCTTAGTCCAAACTGGAGTACAGACGCTGCTCTTGCTGTGTCTCTAACTGTGATAGATTAACAATCAGAAGTGCTGTTAATATCCTGTGAGGAACTGAAATCCTTTCATAATATGCCAGATTGTTTCAGAGAGCTTTTATTTCATCTAGTTTATGGCTATCCAGACTGTGACAACACATAAAATCTCAACTAATACTGTCATACAATGCATTAGCTTAACTTTAGTTGCACTCTTAAGACTGTTTTCAAAAAGCCATGTCCACTCTTAACAAACCTTGCATTTTACATGCCATTAAATCCCTAACCAACTGCTTATTATTAAACAAGAATCACCTTCCAATGCTACCGTGTGCTCCATTTCATTGCAGCCCATCATAGCTCAGAGCCAGGCCAAAACTGTAACTATAAACCAGAAGACTTCTAGCACAGCACTGACTGTGCTAAAATACTCCTTCAAAATATTCTCCAGATGACATCAAATGCAGTGATCGGAGCAGCTGAGTAGCACCCAAACAGTTCCCATTTGCTCCCAGGAACATAACAGCAGCTAAAACGCTCTGCTGAGGAAAGCAGAGCCCAGCAGCTACTGGGCTATGTTGCTGTTTTCCTGACAGTTTCATATCAGCAGCTTTCAAAATACTTTCATACAGCAGGACACCACTTGCATCTGCTTCCACTATAAGGATCTTTGCATTCTTGATCTTTAATCCCCCACCTTCCCTGCAGCAACAAAACGACAGGCTGAAATTAAAAGGTCCGTTTAGGACACTTAAGGAAGGAAATACTTCTTCCCTCCAGTCCTCTGAAAACTTAATTTCATTTCGCTCTCAGCTAACACATTAAACACAATGGAGCAGGAAGTGAACTAATAAAAGGGAAAAATAAAGTGTATGCTGTTTTTTGAAGTGTTACATTAATTATCACTAGAGCATCATAAATTTAGGAGAGAAAGTTTTGAGCAGGAAAAATAGCATAACCCCACTTCACATCAACACGTTGAACAACAGACTGAAAGTCACAGAAACTCAAAGCTTGTGTAATGTGCAGTTCAAATTCAGAGAGCGATCCTGTGGGCGAATGCCAGAACAGATCTACCAATTCCCAGTTGTGCTTTTACAATATATGATTATTTTTCTACTCTGCTACAGTGAATCAGCAGCCTTCTCCAACTCCTGTAGAGTGACAAAGTAGCGACAAGGCTTATCTCTACAGCTACACGGCAACATATTTTTTACATTTCACTTTTATATACATAATTACTGCCTTATTTTGAACAGGTATGGTATAATTGGATCTTGTTTATCTACAATCTCCAGCACATTAGTTAAATCACCCATGAAGCCTGTCTATGCAATGTCTATTTTTAAAGCAACAGGACATTTGCAGAGTGTTTTAGAAGGAACGTAGCATGCCTTCAAAGTGATAGCTTAAAGCTAGGTTACTAATAGTCTGAAAGGTGCCATAATTATTTCCAAATGCATTTTGCCAGGGTCCTTTATTGTTAGAAGAGAATCTCCACAGCTTCACAGGCTTCAGCCGTGCCAGCATTTGGTGACCAGTGTCTGTATGCCCAGCAGCACCAAATCAGGTATAGTTTTAGAATTCCAGATTTCCTCGAATTTACTACATCTTCAAGGCACTTACTTTCAATTAAGCACACAGCTTTTAAACCTTCAACCGTTTCACTCAGATACTGGACAGTGGGATGAAACCTAGCAGCAAAAATCACTTGGGACTGCCACAACCAATTGTATTACAAATTAATGCACAGAAAGACATCAGATCAATTACTGCTCCACGTGGTTGTCTTTGCAAATCAGCTAATTGAAATGGAATCCCTGTCGCAAGTTCATACACTTTCTATATAGCATGAAAGGACTTAGATACTTTAAACTTACTAAATGCAAATCGCCTGTGCCAAGATTATGCATTTTTCTTACGAGGGTGAAAATATTTTCCCCACTTTTAACTTTGACATGCAAATATGTACTTGCTAAAACCTTGTTCTTATGCAAACAAGGCAGGTGGGAAATATTTTTACATGTCAGGAATATGTTCCAACTTGGTTTCTCACATTCCCAGAGTTACTTAAAGCTTCCTACTGTGCTCACATTAATTGTACCTGTTCTGTGCTTACATATATTTATATGGTATATTTTCCAAGATTATATAAAATACTCTAATTCATGCTTTAGACTAGAATTAGCCTAAATTACAGTTTACAATTTCTGTCTCCTGGGGTGGTGCTCAGGCTGATTCTGGTTCATGCATGAGCAAATTATTTCTTAAATATGAATTGCAGAAAAAAATAAACTCTTGTGGTTGCTTAGAAACCATTACAGATACCCAGGTGACAGATGTAGTTTGTATTGCCGGATTAAAGGCCTAAGAATCTTTCACACCCTGAAATAACAGTGCTCCACAATGCTACCAAGGATGTCCTGTGCCAAAGGCAGCAATGAATAGGAATAAAAGCCCAAACAAAGCACCAAGAGCAACAAATGCGAGCTGGAGTGCAGAGACCCACTGCAGGCATCGAGTAAGTTGCTCGAGAAATGGCTCCCGAGAGAGAGGAGTGACCACTAAGGGCTGGAGGTAGTAATCGTTGCGAACCGATGTCAAACCCAAGGCAAACTCATCTCCATCGGAAAGGGCATCGGACACCCACTAAGATCTCTCAGTATATGTGACTTTAACATGCAGCTGTGCCCATCACTGGAATGTCTGGAAATCTTCCTTCTGCTGTGACATCGTATGATGTTCATTTTACAGCAGGAAAATTGAGTGTGGACTCTTTGATTTGCTCAAAATCAGACAGAACAGGAACTTGAGTCCAAGTATTACAGGGAAAAAAAAAACCTGTGTTTTTCCTCTGAACCTTTCTTCTTCCTCCATCCACTGTGTTTTCACGTGGCAATTGTCTGAAGCAGCTCTGGTATGCTTAAATTGCATGATTGCCTCCACCTAATTCCTAGTGAACATGCTTACCAAACAACCAGAGAGACCACTAAACGACATCTTTTGTTGGCGTCTGAAACAAAAGAATATGCCTTATGCACTCCTACTCCAGGCTTCACTTATTTCCCCAAATCTGGAACAGTTTCACTGGGCTTGCCTGCCTTCTTCAAGCTCCCTCCCTGCAACCAACCCCTCTAGACAGCCTCTCCCATCTTTATTAATTCCCACACTGTGAAATGCTGCTTTATTCCTTGTCTGGTTGGAGCAGTAGAGGAGGAAAGAAATCTAATTCTCTATTTGTAAGGAAATTCTCTGTACAATCTCATCATAATCTTTAGTTTCTTCCTTTCTAACTCCTTGGGCAGACTCTGATCAGGACAAGAGCCCGTAAAGCACAGGGCATTTTCTCCCCAGTTCTGCCATTTAAGTAGAAACACACTGAGCCTCAACACAGGAAAGCGTATTACTAGTCCACACCGAAGAAAACATTTTTCAAAAGAAAAAAATGTTTTCCCAAGACAAAAGTTTTGTCCTCCCCATTAGTGTGTCTACAGAAAATGTTTGTTTCTAGTGAATCGTCTTGGGGTAGAAAAAGGATTTTCCCATTCCTCCTCCTGCTTTCACTCTGTTATTTTAAAATTGTATATTCATATGGATCACAGATCACAGATGTCATTGTTTCCAATTTGCAACAGGTATGAAACCTCAGATTTGGTATCCTGGGAAGGGCTCTCCAATGGAAGCAAAAATTGGTCCCCATTCCTCCCTTTTAGGGGAGATTCACCTACCTGACCTGAGCTATCTTGAAAGTTGGGTAATTAGCCAAAGTTAATTGTCTTGTCTGCTTCTAGGGTGATGAGGAAAAAAGGAAGAAAGAGAAAAAGAAGGGGAGGGAGAAAGAGAACGTGAGAAGGAAAAAGGGAGAAGGGGCATGATTCATCTTATTGAAGACAAGCGAGATGAACCTCTGAGTCGAGATGCCTCCTCTTCAC